TGTGCCTGGGAGTGATGGACAGATGAGACATGAGACATGAAATATAGTATGAAATGTTAAAGGTAAAATGAATATTATATATGTGAATTATATACATTAGTCACGGATTATTCAAATGGACTATCCTCACTTCGTATGTGACTACCTTGGTACCCTTCGATAGAGCCCCGTTAGAAGGTCCAGGTCCAGGTCCAAGTTATCGGGCCTTCGGGATGGAATACCCTACATGTAAGGTAGATACTACTATAGTACCTAGTGCATAACATGTACCTGGTGTATTGTATTGTACATAGTTATTTTCCCTATGTAAACTCCCTATGCAGAGCACAGAGAGAGAGAGACATACATGCTAACGCAGTAGTAGGTATCTCAAGGTGTGTTACACGGTATCATGTTCGCCAGCCCTTGTCAGGCCACATGGAACAGCCTATTCATCGGTCATTAGAAGGCTACGGGAAAACCCCCCCTTCAAGATGATGGATTATGGAGCCGCCCATGTGGGATGCTCTATAATTCTGCAGTTTCGCAAACCCATTTTTCTGCCGTGGCCAGAATGGCTACCTAGGTACTTAATGCTCTGCGGAATGGGCCTCATGCAGCCAACCTTGAACCCACTTAGTGGGCATTCGCTCTACTGCAAGTCATGGGATTTTTTTTCACCGAGTGCAGATCATATACAATACGAACGATGCATACCGCGTGCCATAGGGTAGCCAGACTGGCAGAACGACAAGCCATCAGGCCGTTCGGTCGTCATATCTTGAAAGAACGATGGATTTGGTAACAAGAAGGGTCGCATTGCAGCACCGCAAAATGCATACTATGGTAAACAGTGACATTTTCCACCAAGACATGTCGTCATAGTCTACGAATCTATTCAAAGAGAATGAGCTCGATTGGCAGATACTCAACTCGTAAAATGTATACCCAATACTCAATACCCAATTCCTTTAGCAGCGGGTGATAGTGCATAACTACATGTAGATAGGAATATCGATATACGTACCTACTTACAATTCTACCACATGTGCAGTCGTAGATACCTAGTACCAACGCCGTCGTCGTATACAGTCTCGCTAGATTCAACGGGTTGCATAGGTACCTTTCATAGTAGTATCTATTAGAACCATCTCTCCTATTTACCAATCATGTGCAGTACGTTGTCGTAACAGCGGAACCCATTCGCCACATTAGCTGCATCTAGTGAATACTATGTATAAGTAGGTTAGGTACCTACATAGCTACGTTCATACGAACGGCTTACATAGGGAGGTTAGGCACTTTATGGTTATGTCGCCCTTCACACCATCGCACTTTAAAGCAAGGACCCGTTTACCACGTCCCATATTTTCACCTTTCACACCGGGTTGGCATTCCGTAGTTTCGCCTTATCCGCCCACGTCCGTTACTACACCACTCTAGATAGGTACTAAACTAGGTTAGGTATATCAACTTCACGGATGACGTGGAAAGCTTTAGTATAAAATGTGTCTCAAGTGTAGCATCGTTTTTCTTCTTCGCATTTCTTTCTTCCATCTTCCTTCGCAGCCCTACACGAACCCAACCACAGGGTAAGTACTGTAATAGGTATTCGACAACTTGCCAAGCTCGACATCCGGCTCAACCCAACCTGTAGTATCAGGAGACTCGGAACCAAAAATCGGCAATCGACCCCCCATCCGCGCGCTAGCTGCCTATAATTGTAATGGGGAATCAATATATCGAAGGGCCAATCATGGGAAGCCGTTTCTTAACTCAAGGAAATACGCCTTCTTTGAGACGAAGACCCTGATTTTCCCAAAACCCGCCAGCACATTCCGTCCTTCCTCCCTTCTCCGGTTACCTGCATGTGTGGGATCTCGGCCTCGAACCCACACCACCCACGTTAGCTAGTTAGTTTCCTCCGATGATCTTCACGGCGACGGGGGGCGGCCAGTGTCTATAACTATTAGGTAGTAGTATGTAGTTGAGCTATCGCATAGTCTGGGTGCAACAAGTGACGGAATTATAGGTTAGCCCGTTACGCCATGTTACCCTCCATCCTGCCACGATGCCTAGGTAGGTAATATTCAGTACACCAGTTGCCTCCACGCTAGATTTAACATAGGTCACGAGTGGAGATTTGTAAGATTTTACTCTGTATACCTATCCATATCACCGACGGTTGGTCAAGTTCATTAGATCGCAGTAAAGAACTACTGGAGTTGCAATTCCCTTATGGTCATAGTCTCTCTTGTCGTTGGGCAGGCAAGGCGATGTCCTCGCAAACAATCAATCAACCAACAGAGTTTCAAGAAACTTGTCCACGAATTATCGATCCCCTTCATTCCTAGCTTGACGTTCCTGTCACCTGTCTGAGTACCACACCAGCTACTCGGGCCGCATGCATGATAAGCCAAATTTACATATATAGGTACCCAATCTGGTAAACCGTAGCATTTTATGTTAGTGCCACCAGCGTCTTGGCCCTTCCGCCTCGCACCCAATGAATGAGCCGCCGATTAAGTAGACACTCCATTTTCACGCCGTCAACGACTATCTTTCAGCTGTTCTGCCTAACCCGGAGAATTATTCTAGAACTCTCTTTTCGACCATTGTGTGATTCGCAATGGCGAGAGCCGCGCTCCCACTAACCTAATAGATGATCATTGTCGTGTTCGTCTTAGTTACACGTAATAAGTTGTATGTACAAGTTTTAGCCTGCTCCCGGTCTCCGAAGATTGTCGGGCGATTTGATAATGGGCTGGATTCGGGGAAGTAGGTTGGCGAATCTATTTATGACAAGTTCATGCCGGTTAACAAGATCATCGCGGCATGTGTTGACACCTCCGAGCCGGTGTACTGTAACTCCGGAGTTTGAGTCGTGTCTTAAAACGAGAGAATTCGTTGTGGAATTAGGTAATTAGGTACCATAACACTAAAACATGCAACATTCGATGTGAATGTACTAGGCTTGGATCAAGAATCCGCCGGTGACAGAAGTGGATATTAGGGCTTCTCGTGTGCTGAAGCCCCGAATACCGGTGTTCTTCGCGCTGATGATGTCTCGGTCTCCATAGATATCCTCTTTAAATCGTAGAGTTATGCTGTATAATGATTATGCCATTAGCTAGTGTGTGCTTTCTCTCATCTGCATAAACGAGCATTTGTTTGTTAGGTAATTGCATCGTAGGTAGCTGAAGGTGTCGATTGATATTAGTGGTTCGTGCAATAAACCCCCACCCCCTTTTTGTCTCATATGCCCAGGTGCACGACACTTCAGGAATTATAGTATCAAAAACATGATCTCAGAGAATGAGGAGCCAGTCCCGGCTAGTATCGATGATTTTTAAGTAGATAAAGGCGTCTAGATGTAGATACTCTTGTAATGCGTTCGTTACTAGCTCAACAACCTACTACCTACCCAGCTCTTACCCTCGCCTTCAATATCAGCCCCTATCTATGTTCGGCGCTATTCAATAGGATCGTTCATAATATCATCTTCCAGACTAACATGAAGAAGACTTTCCTCACATTGTCCTCCGCGTGTAGGCGCCCACCAGCGGTATTCATTGGAAGATATGATAACTGCCTCAGATGTGTTGGTTTCTAGCTGGCTGTGCCTTACGCTCAAACGACGCCGGAAATGTTGGAACCTCTTTATAAATCCCCAGCAAGGCTGATCATGGGCTCTCTATTTATTCAGGCAGACATATCTGCAATGTTGGGTTGAATGGCGATGACAATTCCGGCGTCGTCCTTGACGTACCCAGGGTCTGGACCAACCCAATAGTCACGTATCTGTCCAGTATCACGTTAAAGCCCGTGACCATCAACGAGATTATTGATTTTTAGACTGGCAGCATATCTGGAAAGATTTCTGACTTCATAGAGAAGAGTAATCTCTCCTTCCAGATTCTTCCTAGGCATCATCATGCGATTCGATCTCATGATCCCAGCGCAATGCGCAGTCAACTTGCATGTCCTACGTATTGGGCTATGTCAATATACTCGAGGCCAACATGACGCTACAAGAGGCTATAGGAAAGTATCACAAGCTCGACATACTTGTCAGCTTCTAAGCTGGCTATATCACAATAGGGCTTCTCCATGCCGAGTGTCCGGCAACGAGGCCTAAGGCTTTCGACCCCCTTTTAACCCCAACCCCAACCCCAGGATCTTTCACTACCAATGGCACGATAATCTAGCACCATCGAATGTTTACTAAAACCCTTCGGGTTGAGTACGTTGATAGCTATCTGCGTATTCTGATGCATCATTCGGTTCCTAGTCTTACTGACTTGATGCAAGATACCTATACGCAAGATATGGCTACAGCGTCTTTCCTGCGGCCTTTTTGGTCTTCATCCTCGGAACCAGGGGCTATGAGGGATTGTCTTGAAGGCAAGCATAGGGAAGGATTGTTTAGAAATAGTCTGGAAAACTTATGGTGGTCTATTATTCTGACGAATGTTTTCCATTCGTATTTGTTTTGGCTATCCAGGTTGAATAGTTACCTAGGTTACACATTTCTTGCCACGTTATAGGCTTCCCGTGGCAAGTGGGTTTATCGCGTATGGCAGGTTTTATACTACACTTAACATGACCTTAACATACCTACAAAGGTACTCGATCAACAGGCATTCAAATACTTGCGAAACTCCATAATGCTGTATCCTGCTTGACCATTTGCGGAGGAAGGCATCCTTTTCAGTTTTACTTAGAGGGACGGAGGAAATATCCAAGGTCCTACGCATACGATGCTATCAAAAGTACATTTGGGTAGAGTTAATTTATTTATGATGATATGTATTCGTTGTCTATGCCCATGGGAGATAGATCGGTGACAGAAGGTGAATGAACTTGAAGCTCGAAAACAGGATATCTTGGCACACTTATACTAGGGTGCCGTCGGCGGAGCTGTATTAGGGAGGCCTTGCACAGAAAAAAAAAGCAAGAGTTGGGGGCCGTTTATTGTGATACTATACTCAGATGATATTGATATGTGATATAATCAGCTAACTACACATATGGTATAGATGTTAAGCCGATAAGTACCTACCTAGGCAGCCTTCCCCAGTTGTAGACCTTGTCCCTGTCAATAAGGACTGGGTACTAAGTCACACCTCTTAAAAGTTCACGACGGTGAGATCCATCTACAATCCTTTTTAACGACTTTCAAACATTCAGATATTCAAACACTCCCAGGTTTGTTTGATTTTCTGAACATCCCTCCCAGGGCGACAAATAACCCATAATCCACAACATCCAATATAATAATTCTTATACCCAACCACCCGAATTAATCATTTTATTCCCTTCACCACCCACATATTTGTTTTCTCCAAACCACAACGTCGTCAACGTAATTATAAGATAATACCCCGCCACGCACCCCGCCTCACGCAGATCAGGATGGCGCCAATACTATGGACGGACAAGAGCGAGCGCGATTTGCTCCTCGCAATCGTCATTACTCATCTCACCCAGCAGAATGGGACCGATCTGAAAGTCAGGATCAACTGGGACTCTGTGACTACCATGTTGCAGTCTTTTGGCTATGACAATGCTACTAGCGGTGGTATTGGGTACGTTATCATCATCGTATTCCATGTCGCCTATGAAGTGCTAGGTATCTGATACCTTGGTATATACCTACCTACTAACCATAACTTCGTGTTCCTAGTCAGCACCTAACCAAGAAGATCCTCTACGACTACAAGCAAGGTCTCAAGGCGGGCGACACCGAAGCCCCAACTGTCAGTACGGGTACAGCCGCTTCTGGAACCCCCAAGAAACCCCGTTCGCGCAAAGCTCCTACCAAGCCGAAGGGTAAGGTCCAACCTATTTATTACTCCGACGACGAGCCCATGACACCAAGAAAGAGGATGAAGGGTGTCGATCATGACATGGACAGGGAATCTGAAGGCGAGGTTTAAGGATGTTATCAATCACCTAGGCTAGGTAGTTATGGAGCTTGATGTATAGCCTAGCCTCACCTTCGCAGAAGTCATATTGGCACGTGACTAGGTACAGATGAGGAAATCATGTATTTACTAGTCAGTACTACTGTGTAGTAGGAGTTCCTACACCTAATCTAGTACCAAATATGGCAATAGTGGTGAAGAGTACCTAGTTTGTAGCCCATGAATCTCGCCTGTAATATGCCCGGCTGAATTGATGTACCAATCCAGATGACACGATGCGATACTTCTAGCTGCGCATGTGAATAACCCCATCCCTTCCAGCGCCTTAGAATTCCTTGTGATTCCTCCATCATGCTCCTCATGTGCGACGCCAAACGTAATGCCACATATTCCCAAGTTTCCTCTTTGCGGAAATTCCGGAAGCCAACGCTAATCTCGACTCATTCGGCGCGAAGAAGCCAAATCTGACATCTTGTTAATACACCAAGACTCTACCCGAGGAAGAGTTGGGAGGAGGGCATGATACTAACCAAGAGAAAACCGGAAAGGGATATAAAATACTAGTAAGTTTCCTCCTCCACTGCGAACTCTAGCGTTGGGTGTATATGCCGAGTGTGTCGAGAGTAGTATATCGATATTTAGTTGTTTTTTCTATGCTGGTACTCAGAATGGGGTGTGGTCCTCCTGCCACTTGCATCCAAGACTCGCATCCATAGGATGATGTATTTCCCATGGCTCCAGCGCACCTTTGCGATGCTTCTGGCTGCGCTTTCCAGCATCTGGGCCTGGCTTAACCAGTTTGCCCTGGCAGCAAGTCCAGTAGCATGTGTCGACCCAGATACGGAATTCACCCAGTGTGAGCCTGCCCGTGTTAATGGGATCATCTCCGGCAGCGCCTCCACCGCCCGAGATGTTCCAGTTCCTCAGTTTGCCTATATGGTTTACATTAGCGGTGTTCTCTCTTCTATCTTTTCTCGTTACAAAAGGTTGCTTACCTGGATGGTATTGGCAGGGGCCGTGAGAGCAGGATCTCACAGACTTGTCGCAAGGGCAGGGTCTTGCAGTAGGCATATACTTGCTATTACAATTCTGGCACGTCTTGAGCATTTGTGAGGCCTTGCCGGGTAGGGCGTGGAAAGCTGCGATTCTAGCAACAAGTGCCGTGTAATTGGTCTTTGCCAAGTGGTGATTGTGTTGAGCGTCCACTATCTGATCCCTGCCGACGAACGTCTTTAAGAGTTCTTGGGGCGACAGCTTCGGATGTGCCATTTGCTGGATGAATTGAAGATGCTGGAACAAGTCCATCTTGTCGAAGTCGTGAATGGCAAGGCTCAGGAAGTTGTTGGCAGCTTTGACCATGGTGTAAAGATTGGCTTTACTGACGGTAGGTCGGCCGCCAACGTGGGCGGTTAGGCTCCAGATGGGATCTATTTTTCCAATGACTGCTGTATTGGAGGAAGGGTCTCCTTCGGGATCTGGTGTGGGTGTTTGACTAGTGGTGGTATTTGGCTTGTATCTTTGGAACACCATCTGCTGAATCATACGAAATCTCTCCTTATGTCGTCGTCGATCGACGGCAATCTTCTTGGCTTCCTTTCGCAACTCGGTAGCTTGCATGCTCGCCATATTGTTCCAAGTCGAATGAATCGAAGAAATGAAAGTAGTTTGGTTGTTGAAATGTAGAGAAAAGGTTGAATGATCACCGAAAGTAGGTTGACGGTGTCGTAGTAAGAAGAGATGACCGGTTGTGTGCGAAGAAGTGTCAAGTTTGATTTGAAGATGGGAAACCTTGAGGTCAAGTTTTATGAATATTCAAGGTGCAAAAGACAAAGTTGCCAACTGTAGTGCGTCTGTTAGATGGAGGGGTATGAAGGTGGGCAAGAGGCAGATGGAAAAAAAAATGAAAGATTGAAGTTGTTGGGTAGAGGAATATTGGGAAATCAGGTTGTGTGTGCGCACCGAATTTTACTACAATGGGAACTGAGAGTGACTCAGTGATTTTGACACCATTGACTTTGCAGGTTGAATGGAATATTGCCGAACAGCTGGTGGTTATCGCGTCGCGTTGACCGTGACACCTGGGGCAATTTTCTAATATCTTTCCGTCGCTTATTGTTTGCCCAACCCACGTGTGATCTATTCAGTACTTATGAGTCCAAGAAGAAGGTTGGTGGTGATTTTCGTTTTAATTCAGCATCTTCCGCCTCCCATTACGAGACTGGTCAATGGTGATGGATGTAATCTACGCCATTCCAATCATGCAACAATGGTACAACAATGGTACATTGATATTAGCGCGTCTAGTAGCACTGTGTGTCAATCATGTGAGTTAATTCTTGAGTAGTAACTATGGCTACTTGGGATCGGATTCGGAGTATCTGATTTCCTTGAATTTCCTGAATAATAGATACCTTAGGTATGTACAATTCGTACATTGATACTAGGTATCGAGATTTCTTGGAAATTTCAGGGAACGGTTCAGTCCTCGCTCGTTACACTTGGTACCCTAATCTGACAGTTTTTGCCAATCGTCAACCCCAACGTCGCACACCTACCAAGTAGATAATACACATCAGATCTGGAGATTTATGGCGTTATTAATATGAGAACCTCAATGACTACAAGAGATATGGCAAGCTATCATGACAACAACTTGATGCCTTATGTTCAACGTAGCAGAAGAGGTTCTCGATGGGCCAGACCTACCGAGCTGTATAGGTGACTTGAAGTCGATCCAAGCATCAGGAAAGAGGTTTCGATGACCGGATTGTCATCTGGATTCCCTAATGGAATTGTAATGGGCACAACGATTGGATGAAGCGTGTAGAGCACTGTGTAGTATGGTATGTAGTTGCTCAAGGGTAGTCACGTGACCTTACTCTAGCTTATGTAGGCCCAAATACACTGTGCACTGTATGCACACCCCAGGTAACACTATGTACAATTTCGATTCTATTGGATATATATCTCATGCTGGAACTAGATGGTATATTGTAGTACAGCAGCCCTCACCCCGTAAAATCCTACTTTATACTCCATGATACAAGATGACCAAGCCGGCCATCAAGACGCGGCGGAATAATGGTTCCGTTTCTACCCATTCAACCCAACAAACTAATGCGTACTCCCCAACTCGGCCCACTAGGTAACGTACATATGTAGTAGCATTCCGCGATTGTAGGCGAGCTTATATACTACAGGGATAGTACGCGTATCCGCGCGCCTAGTCAACCTTCGCCAAGAGGAATACAGCTTCGATACACCAGGTAGTCCACTGCAAGATGCCCTGGATAAGCCACATGGCTCGAAGAATGAATTCGACTAGGAGGAGACATCCCTTGACTGCTGATCCGACGGTTAAGTCGAGTCAAGAAATCTTCTTGGTTCGGTTTTTGGCGACATTGACCTTGCCGCTTAGGATGTCTGCTTGGTTGTTGACGTGATCTAGCATCTCAGTCTGTTCCTCGACTTCGCGATGGATCGCCTCGGCCATCTCTCGCTGCTTTCGGATGATCTTGGCGAGATCATCCACATCTTGGTCTTGCTCCTTCATCATCTGTCTCTGCAGCTGCACCACCCCCTGATTATCTAATTCTCGCGTACGCTCACTTTCTGGCAATGGAGCGCCTAGCACTCTTCCACGCGGCTTCGGTCCACTGCCCATCAATGCCGCCTTATCAGCAGCTGAAGGCATGCCCCTTTGCGAGGCTTTCGCGGCGGCGGATACCGACGTGCTCAGCCTATCTAGGTCCTCCCTTTCGACCCGCGCAGCCGCGAGCAGATCTTTCCGCCGCCTGATTTCACCCTCGCCCAATCTCTTCGTGTCCTGCATTACCCTCAAGCCATCTCCCAGAACAGTCAGCAAGGAGCCGGCCCTAACCAATGCCTTCTTAGCAGCCGAGCCAGCTTCGAGTGCTGTAGAGTTATCCGTCGCGCTGTCTCTCTTGGCCAAGAATCGCCGCGCCTCCTGAAAATCCCTTTTCATTTCCCCATGTAAATCGAGCCACGTGCCCGGGTCCTGGGAGGCGGCGGCATTAGCGGCGTCTTTGTTGGCGATACCATAGCCAGCTCGTATGCTGGCCGCACTATTGCCAGTGCTACTCATACTCGGTAGGTTGAGGAAAGTGCGCCAGGCTGGCGTGTCGCGCCATCGTCGATCAGGTGATTCTGCGATAGTTCGGAGATAGGATTCGAGACCACGACGACGATCCTCGGTTAACTCGGGAGAGTTGATAGTAGATTTAAACCATGATTTCGCTGGTAAGGGAGCAGGCGGTGGAGAGCCGACTAAGGAGGTCAAGGCTTGATTCAGGGCAACAAAATCGGAGTACCGCTTCTGTACAACGAAGGTGCGTAGAGGTAGGCGTAGAGTAATGTTATAGAGGGTATACGGCTTGGAGTTATCGGTGGGAGAATGGAGGGAAGTTGTCGGAATGGTGATCTCGGCGGGCGGTGCCATACCCATGAAGTTCAAGGAATCACTTTATTATGAAGAACGGGAGATCTGCTGTAATCACTACTGACTGGTGAAAGCTGAAGTTTGGTTGTGCCCTTGGGCTTCTTTAGATTGGTAATGCACTAAGGTAGTTTATTTACCTACCTACGTATCTACATACATAGGTGATTGTTGGATGATACAAGGAATAGAATGGAATGACGAGCGGTAGGAAATTAGCTGCTTAGGTAGGCAACGAGAAGCTTGAAGCACGAGACACGCGGTTGCACGGGGTGCACGGAGCGCATAGGCGCATGGGATCAGGTGGGGGCTTTAGAGTACGTAAGGTGTAAGGTGTCTTATTTGCATATCTAGTTATTACCTACATACGAAGGTTGTGGCCAAAAGTTTAGACCGTGATATACCTCAGCCCCACAGTGCGCCACTTTTTGAGGGGTATTTTACTCCTCCTACCAACTTTTTATATACGTACGCACTTTATTCTTCACTTTTACTATATTATTAAAGTTTGAAGCTACTCGTAATGGCTAGAACTAACCAAATCGATAACGGGCTACGCTTGCAAGCCCTTACTACATACGGCCAAGGACATACTCGCAGGTATATTCTAGAGGAATTAGGGATATCCTCTTCAACACTATCTAAAATTATTCGCAAAGCCCAAAGCCGCGGTTACGTTATTGGTGGCCTTGCTCTTCTTTCGTACGTGGTAGATGAGCCACGAGCTGGCAGGCCTTCTAAAGTAAAGGCTAAGGGAAAAGATGTCGCTACTGTTGTTAGTAAGAATGGCAGGAGTAGGAAGTGGTCTACCCAACAAATCGCCGACCAAATTAACGACAAAGCCACTTCAAAAGACGATACTATTTCCCGCCGAACCGTCCTTCGTTGTCTCAAAGCATATAAATTCAACGACGTCAAATACACCACCAAGCCTGGCGTAACCAACGGCCAAAAGGTTGTCCGAAATAACTTTTGCGTATACATTAAACATTAGACGGCCGAAAACTATCGATGGATCATCTGGAGTAATAAAACATCCGTACAACTTAATAAATCCCGCGGGCGGCAGCGAATATGGCGACAGCCGTGGGAGATTTACCATACGCATGCTGTACAAAAACGTTGGAAAAGCTTTCAAAAGTTTATGTTTTGGGGATGTTTCTGCTACTATAGAGTAGGCCCTTCCTACTGTTGGCCCGTACAATCAAAAGAAATGAAAAAAAAATACGATGCGATGATGAAGCGATACAACGATAGGATGGAAGCCGTTGCTAAAATACGGTGGGAAATCAACGAAGAAATACGACGCTCAAAGCTACGATATCCAAATAAGGGAAAGAAGCCAGTATGGAAATTTACGGCTCAACGTGGTGCTCAAACCAGAGCTAATAAATCCGGTGGCATCGATTGGATTAGGTATCGAGAAGAAGTCCTAAAGCCGTTATTCATACCTTTTATAACGCAGCTCAAAAAGGACTATCCTAACGTGCCTTTTATTACGCAAAAAAACAACGCTCCTTCTCATACGTCACGATGGTATAAAAAGAAGTGGGAAAAGGCCGGGATAAAAACATTAATATGGCCTTCCAACTCACCTAATCTATCAGCTATTAAGCCGCCATGGTTTCAAATAAAAAAAAACACAATAGATGGATTCAGGTCTCAAAAGCGTCAAATGTTAAAGCCAACGTAGACTAAGAAGTAGGCATCATATCCTTTAGAAAAGCTTCAACATTTTGTGGATAGGATTTGAGGCAACGTGGCATGGGTTATTTTTCTACAAGGGGATAATTGTTATCCTAAAAGGACCTAGCCGCCAAACGGCTCAAAAGAAGAGCCAAAAGAGTTCATTCAACACTTATTTGCGCAGGCTGAACTATTAGATCCCACGGCAGAGAATATTTCCAGGACAGGGCAAGCTGTATTAGATATAGTAATGGGTCCTCCAGCTAATAGTTTGGATGGTAGCAGGGAAATAAGTATGGAAACAAGCCCTGAAAGTAGCAACGTTGAATATAATCAATTTTGAGGCCTTTTATGCGTATAGTGGTGATAATATTTTTACAGTGGGAAAAAAGTGGAAATACTGTGGGGCTGAGGTATATCACGGTCTAAACTTTTGGCCACAACCTTCGTAGTGCATAACTAGTATGAGTCTACACTAGTACTACTATAGTAACCTAGTAACTTACTGAGTACATACATTGTAATATGCCATATTTGCATGTATCTGTTCATTGCACACCGTAAAGTGCCTATCTTATCTGGTACATGATGAACCTACATAACATCCATCTGCTTGACCGAGATTCTCAATCTCATGATTGATGCTTGGCTACTATTACTACATACATAGGTAATTCAAGCTAATGGTAAAAGAACCTAGGTATAGGTAACTTTGGCTCCCAAAATTCATTCAGAACGGGATATCAGAATATCATTCAACTCTATACCAGTTTTCGACATTATGCGTCATAAAAGCTTGTTAGTCTTGGGCAGGCAGGCTAGTTAGTTTAGTTAGTTGTAGGAGTTAGTTGTAGGCTCAGTGTTATTGGCGAATCACTAGTTACTTAGCCTTGGAACTATGTAGACATTGCAAAGACTGCTAGGTTAGATGGTCTGAATCCGGCTAATATTCTTCCAAACTTGAGCTTCTTGTATTATTTACCTCGATCGTCAAGCAAACATTGGGGTTTGAATTGCCAAGAGAATATGATCTCATATTTATTAAGAAGATAGGGAGTACTACTAACATACATCAATGATACTAACCAAGGTTAGTACTCTCGCAGCTGCCTACATGTAGTTATGTACTACTACTAGTAGTATGTAGCCATTGAAGATCTCACCGCAAATTTACACATAGTACGTTTTAAAAAAAAACTCAAGAGGTCGAAAAGTACCTAAACCCCATAAACCCCAACCAGATTACCTAACACCGATCAATTACTTCAACTTTTAAGGTTGTAGATGGCGCGAACCGTCTTTGCTCTTTAGATGGCTTTTTTGTTTGCACAGGCCTCGGTCCGTACAATGTTTGCTCTCGGTTCATATTAGAGGGGTTTTTTCTTTTTTAAAAAACGCTTTTCGTCTAAGGCAGATCAATGAACCGAGAGTTGATCTAGATTGAACCCACCATGTAACCTCAAGCAACCTAAGTATTTACCTAAGTAGAGGAGTCTTGAGACAGAGCTGAGCTTACCTAATTTCAATTCAATCCTCTTCAATGGCTACAATTCCACAAGCCTCAAGTCTCAATAGTCTCAATACAATTTACCTAGGCACCGAGGTATGGCAATTGGTTGGTAATATTGTTTCCTTTTTTTCTTTTTCTTTCTTTCTATTTCACAAGTAACTATGGAATTTGCAAGTAACGTTGCTACCGGTATTCGCCATCTCCCTTCTTCTAAGCTAGCTACCTAACCTATGGTAATTCGTATATGCGCGTGCCCAGTTCAGCTCAGCTTACACAGCTAAGTTACCTACTGTGCATAGTACTGTTTATGATATGTTGTGGTTATGTTATAGTTACACAATTCAATATTTCTAAGGCTGACTCGGTCTTTCGACGAAAGCAGTACGATAACGTGCTGACAATAATCGAAAATAGCCACCTGCTGTACCAGAACACGGAAAGGTTAGGGAAGTGCCGCATTTACCCAACAGCCTTCAATGTTTGCCGTTGATTCTAACGATAATCGCTATAGCCTCTCGAACTTTGGCCAATGATCATGCGAAGATCCTTCTTAAGAGGATCCCTTTGCGATCCTTTGAGATCCACTAGCAGCTACATGTACATACAATAGTAACTATGTTACTATGCGTTCTGAAGCTCGGGGTCTCTTTTTTCAGTCCTAGGCTCTTTTTCTGCTTGCTCAGCACTAACCTGACTCGCTACCTCTTCGCTACCTCCTCACAGCCCCCAGAATACGAGCTCTTGGCGGTCTAATACAGTCTTAGATCGCCCGTCTGCAGACGTCATTCCTATTCCGCATTCGTTCCTAGAACCACATCACCAGATCTGCTTTTACACGATATGGGCTGCCCACGTTGAAAACCAACCCCTCAATTTTATATAAATCCAAATATGTACTCCTCTTCTGGGGATTAATAGTGTTCATAGATCCTTTATATAACAGACCTTGTAAAGAACTTAGTATAAAGTGTTAATAATTAACTACTCATAATTAATCAACCTACCTCTCGAATTACCTATCAAACAACTATCAAATAAAACCTCATTACTACTATTACCAACATCACCAACATCACCATGCTCAACATCATCTCCACACTTGCTGCCCTCCTGCCCTTGGCAGTTGCCGCACCTCTACAAATCCGCGACAGCAACCCCGGTTGCCAAGCTGCTTCTTTCAACAATTTCTCATGGTCGATTGAAGATTTCGATTACCATGCATCATACGTCTTCACCACGCCGGCTCACCAAAATTCATGGGGCTATGTCAACTTCAACTTGACTAACCCGGCTCTCGAGTACCCAGCAGTCTGCAGTGCCTCCAGCAGCCAACTGTCTGATTTCTTCTACGGCACCATGATATATAACTGCGAGTTACCCGAGGGCTCAACGACGAAAGCCACATTCGACTTCAGCCGGCCTAGCGGGGAGTTGAACGTTAACCAGACCTGGACATGCAGTGACACTGATCCGAAGTACCCGTAAGTTTACAGCCTTTCCATACTCTTATATCACAACCATAAAACCGTGCAGCTTCTAACTTCCTATAGAACCAGGATCAATGCTTATGGAACCGTCAACTTGACTTTGGCGTGCACTGATGAGACATGGATCAACCCCAACTGGACAATGGGCCAGATCTACTCTAGTCGCAATGTCGACTGCGCACCAGTTACGCTACCATTGAAGCCTTACCAGATGACTGCTGTCGCTTAAAATCTGGGTTTGATGTGGCAATCTGAGCTATGAGGAACGTGGATAAGATGAAATGGGATGGGATAGGACAGGACCAGGATGGGATGGGAAGGGTATGGACATGAATACGATCATGAAATTATGACTTAGAAAGATATACTCACGACCTGGATATTAGTAGAAGAAAATACTATAATATTAATGATAATTCTATTACGATATGCTTCTCAGGTACATTCAGGAGACTTGGGACTGTGATCAGAAGTTCATCTGCTAGCGATCAAAACTTCAAGACGAATATGATAGCCTAGAACTTTAGGAGTTGTATATTGAGATATTTATTGGTAGTGATGATGGTGAGACAACAGCTAGTCCGTTTTCATCCAACGGGAGAGCTTGTTATTTCCACCATCACATGCTAATCACCGACCTGAGACATATATCCACACTTATATCGAAACCAGATATATATATATATATAGAATGATAGTGTCTAAGTTACTGATTAGGTATGTTGTATGTACCTGCTTCATGCACTGCACAGTTCCAATTTTCAACGCCACATTCCAGTTATAAGGTTAGGCTAGAGCCGATGTTACGGGACGGGCCGCATGCATATGTCTCACGTTATACTATTCGTTCCACCCTTGGAAGTCTGCTAGGTATTACGTACTCAAGTACCTGCAGTATACAGTGATGAGTGACCCTGACTGGGTAGTCTTAAAACCAAAGCTCAACTGGCTTTAAAGTGAAGCTTCCTTTCCAGGTTCTTATTATGAGATCTCAACAATTAGCAGCGACTCTGCAAGTAATACCTAACGCTTGCGAGGACTTCAACGACTTGAATCACATAGTCTCTATGATACAACCCAACAGTAACCCTGACTTTTCAACCGGGATGAGCAATCACTACCCCTGGCGGTACCTAGTAGGAAATGACTTACATCAACCCCTGGTATAACCAAAGTACTATGTTATAGAGAATTAGAGTTAGGAGCTAGGGGGATCCAGTGCAGTTGTCTCGATAAGAATCTCACGAGCCGGAACCTGGTAAACGCAGACCTACATAGTAGATGCAGAACAACATCGTTATTTCGCGATCTCTAACATTTCCCTGTAGGCATGGATGCTATGAAATGTCCATATAGATACATTTAAGCTGTCTTTGTTCTATCTAGCCCCCTATGTAGTCCCGGGTGAGCCTTTGAAAAGAATGATGTATGTAAGCTTGGCTGTATTATGAGTATTTATTAGTCGCAGTGGTGCATATTGTGAATAGCTTCCATACACTCTCCGTGTTTCTCTTGCATAGTCTAGAATGTGCCCCCCGTGGAGAACACCCCTTAATAGCCATCGGGTGGGTTAGGGGTAACCTCAACTATAGGCACCGGTCTGAAGTTAAGAAGTTTCTCATTAACGGTTTCAGAACCTGAGTCTGATTCGATCTATGAAGCCATTATGGCCTTAGATAAGGTTGTTGGTAAAAGGTTATGTATAATAGAGTTTAAGGAGGTTGAAACAAACGGCATGATAGTAAAACAGGGGGACAGCTATTGTAAAGTTTTCTGCAAATCACTGTCCATCTGGCACAACCCCTTTTGATTAGGTACCTAGTACCTGAAAGGCTACTATATAAGTAGATATTCAGCGGTTGCCTCATCTATGAGTCGTATACGTGAAAATAACTCATTCGGCAGGCTTGTTCGACTCATGTTCTGGATAGGGGGCTTCTCGAGTCACAGGCCATAGGATCTCCCGATCCAGCTGATTCTGTGTTGACGTGGGCAAAGTATTCAGGGGTATACTGACGTTATGTGAATAAAATAGAAGGATGAGAAGTGAGAGCAGGGGCAACTGTGATAGTATTATTATTGATCAACATGTTTACGAAGATGGCCTTTGAGCTACGTATAACATATGGCATGTAGTAGTTACTGGTGTGTCATTATTGTCTTTACGACTATGAGGTATGTACATAGTAGGTACTTAGACCAGCAGGTAAGTATGTAGAAATTTCAGGATGTAATCTAGGCAGGCAGGTAGTGTTTAGCAAGTGCTACCGAAATCTATCACTTGTGTAGTCTTTTCGATACACCAAGGGAGCACGGTATCTGTTATCACATATCCAAGTCAAGGTTAACAAATTCAGGAGTTTGAACCGTTCTATTGATAGAGTGATTAAAAGGACACTGTCTATAATTATAATTAACACATTGTTTGTGGCCGAACCTTCTAACTATTTATTTCGCCTCCCAGATGGGCACCCAGCCGATCTCTTCGATGGGCCATCGAATCCATAGTCGATACCCATCATCCAACACAGAATATATCCTGCCGATTAAATGGACTCCCCAGCCCTCTATCCACCAGTTGTAGTCTAAGCGTTTAAGTAAAACGCAGAAAAAGGAGAGAACACACAGGGCCTCGCTATCCCGCTCTTTGAGCAGGTTCACAAAGCCATCGCGGATCTTGAAGAACCACATGAATGCGGCCCTATGCTTTTGGTCGTCGCTGTATGTGTTCCCGTAGAAGAAGGCAAAACTTCGCACGAGGGAGTCTATTCCGTGGGACAGAAGCTCTAGCTTTTCTGGATCTTTAACGTAGAACCTAATGGTCGCCTCCAGCTCTTTGAGGCCTTCGTGTTCAGGTGGTATAGTAGTATGCCAGATATTGTCCGTTTGTCTCCCATTATCGAATATAAAGCCGGAAGACCGGACCGAGTGGATGGCGTTGTCATTGTGTTCTAGTACTCCACGCATTCCCCTGAGAAGAAATAGCCATTGCGGCATTGCTCCATTAGAGACCACAAGCAAATTGCTGGATTCCTTAGGGCTGGCGAGGGCAATCCAAGTGGTGGTCATGCTGAAGATGAAGATGGGTACTGATTCGTCAGAGCTGAGATTATTCAGCACGGGGAGCGCCAAATGGGATGCTGCATTATGATGAACTAATGACTGCTCCAGGAGAACATCTTTCCGTTGCGGCTTGAATCGGGCAAGATGAAGGGCTGCTAATGAAAGAATGGCATTCATGACATAGGGGAAAGAGAAGCCCATTCGAGGTACATTGACGCGCCAAAAATTACGGACCATAGGCTCAGTGCTAAAGGTATAACATGTTGCGGTAGTAAAGTGGTGAAGGAGCTCGAGGTCCAGAGCACTAAAGAAGCCGGCCGGCGTAGGTTGAGACGCGATCGAAGCCGCGGCGGTTTCTGGCGTTGTAGCTTGGCTCCCATTGGGTGTGTGTCCAACAGCATTGGCAGATGCACGAGGACTAGAAACGGCAGAATGTTCCGAAAGACTGAAATCGCATGTGATCCCACGTCTGCATCTCAAATTAGCATTATTGATTATTGTTCAGAATAAGGCAGAGACAAAAAAAGGGGGGGCGGAAGGGACGGAAGGGGGGGTAAGAGAGCTGGGTTGAATTTAGGACTCGCTTGCCTTATACAATTACGACAAGATGGTTTTGTCTCATCGCACTATAGACGTAGGGTTAGGATTGAGAGCTTGAATAAGAGCTTGAGTAAGAGCTTGAGTAAGAGATTGAGTAAGAGGTTGAGTAAGAGCTTCAATAACAGCCTGAATATGAAAACAAAACCTTGAATGCATCGTTGGATTGGGTTGGCTGGATGATTTCGGTAAACCCACCTTAACTTTCCTAGATTTACAGACTCGGCATCCCGTCCGTGTCTTCGCGTGGGGTCTGCGGGTAGATTTCTCGGCCGGTGATGCCATAATTGGGCAGGTGCCTGATCCGAATCTTTGTACGATTTTTGATTGAATGTTGAGTTCCTAACCGAGATGTAGTAGATTCGAAATTAGAAAGATATAAGGTCCGAGATAGACCTGGAGTTTCTCGTTCACGCGTGGTAGTTACGAGTCAAGTAGATCATGCCCTAGGGGTAAAGAGGTGGTAAGACTCCGTAAGAGTGGTAAGAGTTTGCCAAGCCATGAATATGGACCCTTGGTCTCGTATTCGTACGGTGCTACAGTAGGATTATCGGCACTTGATTACTAGGTACAGCACTAAACTTATTCACTTACCAGGTCCTACCAGGTCCTACCAGGTTCTACCAGGCCCCTACTTTAGGTATCTAAGCTTTATAATTTACTAGGTACCGGGGCGGAATAGGTGGGAAGGATGGGGAAGAGGGGAAGTCATTGTCATTGTCATTGTTAGTTAACTAGTTATTGACTTTTTATTTATTTACATATGAACCACCGATAACTCAAACTCAATTGGTTTTGTTTTCTTTTTTCTATTTTCTTTTTTCTCTTTACAAGTCAAGCCTAGCACTGAAGGCATCTTCCGCATTTCTACCCACCCTAGGTATGTATTCAATATTACTATTGACTACATACATATGACTAATTACTAGCTACATACATATCTGCATACCTAGTACCTGGGTAAGTACCTAATGTCCATACAATGAAAGACACCATTGTCGTGCGCAGCTACTTCAAGTATAGAAATATTCATTATATATTACCTGCTCCAGCAGCATGGCACGCGACGATATATATACCTACGCCCTCGGCCATGAGCAATCAATTGCCTTTTCTTTTTGGGCATTGAGCAAGTCCTCTTTCTCAAGTGCCGTTGGCTGGTTGAGTGTAAAGTGTGCCATTGATGATGGTACTAAGAGTACCATTGGCATTAAAAATGTTGGTCAGTGTGTCGATGGATAGATGGAATCCATCAGCACTGGTTTTTTTGGTGGCATTCGTCTGTCCTCGCTGGGTCAGGTTCGAGTACCAGTCAATTTTGTTCAGCGTGATTGTCGGGTTACGGACGGTGACATTTTCTGTCCCGTCCAAGAATGTGAGTCCATCATCGGAGAAATCTTCATACACCACGGCGATGGACTCTATTACTGAACTATCAGCATTCTCGGTAATGGTGATTTCAGCAGACCCGGACATGCTGCCTAGCAGTGTGTAGGTGCCACTTGGAATGGCCAAAATGGGGGCAGGGACCAGCCCAGGCTCGTAAGGGGTAGCCCAGGGGATATCGTCATTCAGTGGCTCAACAGGCTCAACAGGTACCGGCCGACGAGATGTGAAGTGCGCGACCATGGCTCGCTCCGTTCGGCCGCCTTGTTCGGTCGAGTTTGGACAAGGGAGAGGATTGGTGCCACCGCAAGCTGGGGATACAACCATCGCTTGGTAATATACAAGGCGTGTGCCGTCCAGCGAAAATTTAGGATCGGCCAATCCATTCCAATTTGGATCGTTAATACTGCCAGGGCTCCCATCGCCTGCTGCATTGATGCGTTGGCCGTAATAATCGCCTCGATCACCGTACCGATCAAGAAGGTATGGCTGGAAGAACCTGCGAGCACCATTGTTTCGGGTCGAGGACGCAACTGTGGTAGCAATTATATCTATGATTGGGGGGACGTTTCGCATACCGGCCATGAACATTTGTCGACCGCTGCCACGTGTATCCATGATGACCATCCACTCATCATCCGCCGAGATGTCAACAGGATCGCAATACTCTGGGTGGCTCGTAAGTCTCCGCACCTCGCCAGTTGTCAAGTCGATTGCGAAGATGTCGATGTTTGTCGATTCGCGTGGGTATCCGACATAAGTAGCCTCTTTGCCCCGTCCGCTAAATCCACGGAACTCACCTACGGTGATAGCGTCATGATTGAATCGTAGCTGATCTCCGTCGATGAGAATGGGCTGGTGTTTGGTGTCGTTGTTGAATAGTATGTTGACCTTGGCTAAATCATATCGTGGAGTCATGGGTGAGCCCATATCTGGCGAAGGGTTGAACACGAGCCGACCAACATAGCCGTACTGGCCCAGTTTTCCCCCAGACGATGTGAAGGAGCTGAAGCCAAGGTGTATGTCGTCTGGGTGTAAACGCAATTCACGGATACTTCCGCCCTGCCCAGACCCATCCACGGCAGTGTTCCATCGGATAGGGTAAATGTAGGTCAACTCGGGAGTGCAGTGGTCACTGAACAAGTCGAATTCCCTACAGTCGATAATGTTAGTGCCAGCTAGGATGCGTTTTCCATCTCGGAATGCCTGTGGGTAGTCTAGAGTATTGGCTCGACCCGCAGCATTGCCCTGGGGCACTCCACAGGTAACGCATTTAAAAGGACTCCTATTGGAGAAGGTAGTGCCATCAGCCTTTATGAGGATTATTTGGGCCCCTGCGTATATACTAGCTTCATCCTGAGCACCGGTGTAATTGACCAGGGCAATGACATGATTACCATCGGGCAAAAAGCTACCTATCTGGATAAGACCACCAGCCTGAAGAATGCAGCCAGTCCCAAAAGGGTCGACCTCTGGGGTGCATGAACCCCCAGTGGCACTAGAGACAGGTGGAAGCGGTAGTTGGACGATCTCGACTGGTTCTGGTTTGGGAGGAGAGGGGACATGGCCTGCTGAGAGCGTACTGAAAACAATAGCGTGAAAAAGATATAGGAGGAAGGTGTTGATAGGAAACATCTTCCATAAGATGTAGTAAAGCTTCATACGTACTAGTGAGGTGAGTGAGTGAGTGACTTGGCAGCACCGGGTACTAGGCTATGAATGGATGTAGAATCAGATAACCTTGGAAAGTATAGGGATATCTATCCATGCTTTATTGTTTGGTCAAAAAGGCTACTTGATTAATAGCTATATATACCTATATATATATTGATCTAGTTGAATACTCCCAATCACATCAATTGAATCATACTTATTAATACGCGTATTCATTTTCTGAGCAATGATGGTTGAAGATTTGATCTGCAACCCCCGGTCTTTGCTAACGACAATTGTATCCGCGTATGGCTTTTTGTACTTGAGTACAAAAATACTTCTTTTATTTTAGAGAAACCCCTCCAACCCCTAGACTGGGGTTTTAGCAACTAGACCCGCCGATCCAAATCTTGGCTGTGCAGGCGCTGTAGTTACAAAGTATTATGTATTTTGTATTTAAATTTGGGGGGGGGGGAACCCGAGATTCATATGCGAGATATACGAGATCCGAATTCAATTGCAACTACATACTAGTTAATACCATAGTATGTGTACTGCCCCAAGTATGTAATTACAGTACTTTCCTATGCAAGATTGGCACTTGCTATGTATAGCCTCGAGGTAGTTAGACTAGTATTAGCCCTGGAGACTAAACCTAAAATCTTGAAACTGCAAGCTACATAAGTTTATAAATGCATTAGGTAGAAGAACAGGTATTAGTGAGGCAGTGTTGTTGCAGATATGCGACCCCTATTATATCCTCCTCCTTGACATCGGAGATAATACCTAAATGTCTAGAAAAGTGATAAACTCAGGGGTTTTGATTCAAACCTTCTAACTTTATACCATACAACATACATGCCAATCAGATAGTTTATGTTGATGTTGTATACTTCGGTACCTATATCCTGGGGCAATTAGGGGCTCTTTAACAAAATAACAAAAAAACTGCATAACATTGAACATACTACCTACCAGGTAACTACCTAGTATACCATACTAACCAAAGTACTAGTTAGGATACAATCCGATAGATAGCCAATCTATTCTACCCTTAGCCAATATAGTGGCACAATCTGGGGAAAGCCCAAATCTGAAGCGCTCTAAATATCGGTCGAGATGAAAGTAAAACGCCTCATAAATCCCCGATTTTGACAACTATCGACTCCCTACCCAGTAGTCAGTAGGCTATGTGCATAGATATCAAGGTCTATGGTAGTATGGAAGTATTCTAGTTTGCAGAATTGCTTAAGGCTGTCTAATTATGGACCACAAAACATCCATGCTTCTAGAACTACCGCCGGCAGACGGGTGCACGTCCTTGGCATGATAAGCTATACACTATAGTACGAAATTCATACGAGAGATTCGGATAAAGTGATTACGTGGGTAGTCCATGTGTAAGGCTGTGTTAAGGCTGATGGTATGAATCTTTGATATCTATCAGACTTAAATAGGCACGAGGAGAACGAGATGAATTGAGGTCTCTAGATCACAGTCAAGCCTTGAATTCACTCTACATCTTCAATCATCGTTCCAGCTTTCAACCCTAAGCTCAAGCTCAACCTCAGCCTCAGCCTCAACCTCAACTTGAATATCACCAACACAAGAAATACCTACTTTTCTTTTTATCACAATGGGTTTCATCAACGCCAAATACTTCAACGCCCGCTACAAGTTGCCGGTACACATCGCCGAGATACTTTTAGTTTTGGTGGTCATCATCCTCACTGTTGTCCGTCTCGCTATGGGAAATACGCAACGGGTACACATAATGGGCATCGCCTTCGTAAGTAGTCTCGCTGTTGAACAGCAACGATATCCTCCTGATATGGGCACTAATTCGGGCTTCCATCATGTAGGGCATTAAATCCTTAATATTCGTACTTTATCAACTCCTTACAGAACATACCCAAAAGTTTCAAAAGTGGGCCAGCGCAAAGACCAATTTCATTCTCAACTGCGTGGACCATCCATTCTGGGCTGCATTGATGGGCATGCTTTTCATGGCAAACTTGAAATCTTGCAGTGGCACTTCTTGTGGTGTTAGTTGGGCCATGACAGCCTTAGCCATGCCTCTCTCGTAAGTCTGATACCCCTTAACTGAAAATTTACCAGCCAACTAACACTGGACTTTTTTTTTATTAGCCTTATGAGTCTCTGGTTGGCTGTTACAACCTATTTCGAATACCGAGCCGCTCGCCCCAAAACTCTCCAAGATACCAGCTACTCATCGTGCTGATTTCAGGAAAATCAGTTTAGCAAGGGGAAGTGTCTCCCAGCCTAGGCCTGGGAAACTTTATGTTTATGGATGGATACCCCTTATCCATATAGGGATGATATAGGAATGGTCTGTTAGGTAGTGCTTTTGTTATCTAAGGGGTTTGAGCTTTATGGTACAGGTTAGAAAGACATTTCGTATTCATGAATGATTATGTTCGGCGCAGATAGAATTCTTTCATATATCAGGCAATTTTACGAGTTTTCACTTTTAATATGAATTCCCCTTGAATATAGAGTATAGTCTGCTTGAGATTAATTAATAGGCATGCTTGGGCAGTCTGGCTTTTCAGTACATACTTAAGTTTGCGTTAACCTCTAAAGAAAAGCAAACTTGTACGTCGTAGATACCTAATACCAAGCAGCATCATAGCGCAATTACTACTTATATACGAAGTTGCAATATTTCACATACTATGTCGTAGTAGTATAGACTTAGTACACATCTAGATTAGATAGGTATCTAACCTTCTTAGGTATGTATCTTAGGTAAGGATGCACCTAAGTGAAGAGGTGCAGTTGGAATTCCAGCAAATACTTGACATTTCTCGGCGATTGAACACCATATCCAGCCAGTGTGCCAAGTGCGGGGCTTCACATTCTTGGCCTTCATCACTAGTTAGGCATTGGCGGGGTGAAATGTCTGTTTAGAGCCTAGGAAGCAGTCCACAGTACCTAGTGATAACAACTACAGGAAGATGAAACTCATTTTGTGTGCCTCTAGTGTAAGAAAAAAAAAGGGGGGGGGAGGGCCAACGCGGATATGTTCTGACATGGTAACTAGATGTGGATAATATCTATTATGGTTTCTAGCTGCCTTGATCTCATGGGTATTTACAACACAAAAAAGACATCTTCGCTGGTAAGTTCAAACATAAGAAACAATTTATAGCCCCCTCTATAATATCTCACAAAGTCCCCAAATACCAATCATCTAGACTCTCAACAGGACTCCACTTAAATCTTCCGCGGTGTGATCACTACATCCAAGGGGGGCTTCTCCCAAAGACTAAAGATTCTCTGGTTCTGCCAGTCCTTGCACTTGGGATCTAAGGCCAGATCGAAATTCCACAAGACTCTGGCCATAATCACACGCATCTCATGGTAAGCGAGGTTTCTTCCAATGCAGTCGCGAGGCCCGAAGCTGAATGGCCGATGCACATCGCGACGGTCATTGTAGAAGGGTGATTCCGGGTTCGTGGTAGATTCTGGCAGCCATCGTTCCGGGATGAATTCCTTAGCCCGATGGAAGTTGATTTCGGAGTGGTAGGCTGACATATGGTGAACACCGACAACAGTCTGTAAATGCAATATTAGTTATCAAGTACATCATTGCCAAAGTAAAAAAGTAGTGGCTCTTACCTTCTCGGGGATAGAAAGACCAGCGACCTGCATGGGCGGGCCAGATGGTACGGCGCGAGCTAGCAACAGAGGAACGGGGGGGAAAAGGCGTAGACCCTCTTCAAGGCAAGCCATCATGTACGGTAGTCGGGAGCGTAGTTCGTTGAAGGACATAGCATCTTCAGACTGGAATGCATTGCGGACTTCTTCGGTAGCCTTCTTGAGTGCCTCGGGGGTTCTCAGCATCCAGTATGTCGCACCGCTGAGGAGTGTCGCCGTAGTTTCTGATCCAGCGACCATGAGGAGATCGCTGTTAATGATGAGTTCCTGATCAGTAAGCTCATGAGCCTGGCCACGCGAACGCATGATGTAATCCATGAAGTCTCCTCGGTCAGCTTGTTTCCTGCGATGGATGCGGTCATTGGCGAGCTTGGCAACGAGGGCATTGTGGTTGGTCTGCGAGTCGCGTAGCTTGGAACCAGCGACGAGCTTGAAGATATAGCCAATGATAGGTGACACGCCAATCAACACCATGATAGGCATGTACTTCATCAAGTTAGAAATGTTATCGAGCCAAGCGTTGGACTTTCCCTTGGCCAGGCCTTCCAGAGGCGTTCCATACGCAAGATCCGCGATCAAGTCAAAAGTCGTGAAGTTGTACCATTTCACCATGTCAGTCGGCTTGCCCGTCTTGGCCACTTCGTGCAGCTTCTCGACCAACAGGTCGACGTAGACTTTCATCAGAGGCTCCTGCTGTAGCAAAGCCTTATCAGAGAAGGCAGGCAACATCGCTCTCCTATATCGAAAATGGTCTTGCGCATTGGATGAGGTGATCCTCTTTGGGTCCATGTGAATGCCCTTGGGGTAGAATTTGGGGAATTCGGCGTGACCGTGACCGTAGATATCCTTCCAGGCTTGGGGGTTGATGAATGAGACCTGACTGGCGGTGATTCGGATAACCTCTCCATACTTCTCATGTGCATCGCGAATGCTGTACTCTCCCGTTCCCCGTACCATACTGATCGTCCTCGTAATAGGAAACGCGATCCATAGGGGCGGGCCTGGAATATGGCTGAGAGGGTGGAAATAGAGGTTATAGATGGCGCGCCCAAGTTGATGGACGACGCTGAGTAGGGCAAAGAACAAGACTATGTGCAAAGCATCATGTCCGCTGAATTTTTCAACGACTTGATGCAAGAAGCCCGCCATGGTGAAAACCTGGGAGACTCAGATAATGTTTGATGTGGTTTGGGGCAGCTCAGAATCGAGAGATGCTGTGATGTGATGTGATATGATAACGTGAAATGTATGTAGAGGGCTACGACCATTTATAAGATGCTACCCATGGAAATATAAACCAATAGGGGGCTGTACATATTGTTAATCTAATCTTTCATAGCATCCGGGGATCCATCCTTATTAGGGGACCACCTATTACTTTGAGAGTAGTATGGGTAGTATAGTAGATTTAGTAGTTATGCAGGTGGGTTAAAGTGCGAAGCCACCAAGAATTATGCAATTCTATTCTATCCGATTCATCTTTCGTAATTCGTATTCGGACAGGGTAGGGGGTTCCTCGTACTCGGAGTCCCGGTTATCGTGGAGGTCCATACTTTTAAGGCTGATGTGGAGAGAATATATGAAGCTTGGATATGACTATATGTGCCGGACCTACATACTACTATTATCATAGTACTATGCATGTACTCCGTACGCTGGGCACTTACATACGTACCTACATAACTTGGCATGTTTGAGCACTTCCCTTACCGTTACCGAAATGAACAACTCATACCTACATAGTACATATACTACATAATAGTCAAGCCTTGGATTCCGATGGCTATGTTTAACTGGTCCCCTATAACCAATAGGTAGGTTGGTTAGCATACTTCGTACCGCACGAATAACAACCAATGCTTACTAATTTAACCCTTTTCATTGACTACAATATTGGCCATGTCTGCATGTGTGATATTGTTTCTGAAGAGATAGTTAGATAGATAGACCAAAAGTAAACATTTCAGTAACTATGTCATACCATAAAATGGATATTTTATTATTATGCTTAACTATGTACGGGACCACAATGCCGATACACTCCCCAATCCTAACCACTAGTTATTACCTGGTCGGCCAATGCATTCCAAACCGGGGTATCAAATACCTATGCAAACTTGAATATGGCCAGAGTTGAAACTATTTTTATCCTGGATGATGGGTTTAAAATCCAAAGAATGTGGACGAAACTCTAGACTCGGTATTTCCCGAGCCTTATCTTGGGATCTAAGTGGTATGTTTTCCTTCGGATATTTACCCCAGGCCCATACATACGGATTGGGAGCTCCGTTTGAGGGAGGTGCTAAGACAATGGAGCCCGGTTTTGGTCCATCATCTACACATATACGATATACGGGAAACGTGTATGTGTAAAGAGAAGCAATACCAATCCTTGTCGGGGCCAAGCGTACTGTGATATGACTGTCATCGTATGATATCCCTTGGGCTTAAGTAATAGTCCTGTTCATACCTATAATTTCAATTTTTTTAATGCGTGAAAGACGTCGAAGTAACTTACATTATCTACGGATGACTGCGCCATATCTTCATTGCGTGGTCCTTGACTAGCCTTTCAACATCTCCATTTGTTCTGGCTTCAGCTGCAGTGATATCATATTGGCTTTGCTTTGATAATGGACATAACCAGAAGATCTGTGATATAATATTAGATCTTGCTAACATAAGATAAGCGCATGAATTATGGAATCGGCTTGACCTTGGGGCTGGAAGCGGTACCATCTCCTACGTCCTTGTGAGCAGTCTCTGCCCTGTCCCGTACGCCACGGGGACCTCTTGGTGGCGTCACCATGGATGGTTTTCATCTAACGGAGTCTTTCATCTTGAAAGCAAGGTTTATATGTGAACATGGAAAAACAACGTGGTTGCTGTGTTTGTGAGTGTCGGTACCCATATGGGAGCAAGTATGAATGGCCCGAAGAAGATATTTGGACATGACAACGGTCTGGTGTGGTGTTTTAAAGATAAGTAGGAGATACCTAATATGCTAGAGTTGCATTGAGGCGGTAATATCGAACCTACTCATACCGAATCTACTCATAATGTACTTACTGCAGTCGTTGTCTCTTGGTGCGACAGCACCGTGACAGGGGATCCCTTTGGCCATCTTGCTGCGTCTTAATTGGATAGATAGTATGTAGACAAGGAGTTTGATGATTGATGTGACTGTAAGATTTTCTCTATAAAATACATAAACATCTAAACCCATACGTCTTGTTACTGTGCTGTGGTTACCATGTGAGTGACATTCAAATCTAGATATGTTTTTGTACCTATTCACGAAGCCCCTTAGGTACAGTGCAGAATACAGTGCGGGTCACGGTTCCTGCTGAAGTACTGGACACATAAATGCATGAGGTTACTATCTACTATGTACGATGTGACGATGTATTGAGGCAACTAATGTATAATATGGTATCCGACTACCAGTCTAACTAACCTTCACGCGCATTACTCTATCAACTCCTTATAGTGAAAGAGCTTGAACCAACCTTATCCTCTCACGTCTCTCACTATTTAATATCAGCAGCAGCACCAATGAATTACTTGCACAAATATTTTATGCTTTTTTTAATCTTTTGCAGAGCGCATTTTTTCCTCCGCCTTGATACATACACACCAATCTTCCCATTTCACCAGACACCTGCCTACTGGGCATTCTACCATCAGTCCAGGGGAAAAAATATCAACATCAACACATATGACCTCAATGACCATGGCTGGATTACGAGAGACGACTATACTGCGCACTGCGACTTGTCAACCGGATGTGCAGGGTGCTAGTCGTGGCAAATATAACATTGACATCGCCACTATGAGAAGATGCGAAGTAACCCAACAGGAACCGGAAGGCGCCCAGGATATAAAGTGTGAGCAAAGTACCGGGATCGTGAACGATTAGGATAAGAGCGGAGACCAACTGGGATCACCGCGAGTAAACCAAATCCCAAGATATTGCGAAATGGACCCAAGCGACGACACCGAAGATATCTTCTACATGTATCGCCCTGGAGGCTTTCATCCTGTACATCTAGGTGACCTGCTTGACGGCCGTTTCGAGGTGGTTCATAAGCTAGGACATGGAGGTCACGCTACTGTTTATTTATGCCAGGAGCTATAAACTAACAACTGGCGTGCTATCAAGATAATTCAAGCTGAAAGATCATATGAAAACAACGCAGAGCTAGACTTACTCAAGAATATAAAGTCTCAGGGCGGCCTCGACCGTCGATTATGGGAGGCCAATAATATATCTGTACCATTAGAGTATTTTTGGCTCCATGGTCAAATTTCTTCACTATAGGGGTATCTGCTACGGCGATATGACTCAGAATAATATCCTCATACGACTAAAGGATTTATCACATCTAGGGAAAGAGGAAATGATGGATCTGCTTGGAAGCCCACAGCTAGAGCCTGTCGAAACCGTATCAGACGTTGATCTAATGCCAGTGTCACCACGGTACAAGTCGTTCCCGCCAATATGAGGCTCTAGGGTATTGAGAATGGGATTGTTATCACAGACTTCGGAGAGTCGTTCATGCCTGCCATCGACCACCATGAATTTCTGCGGAATACCCCTAGCATACGCCTAGCCTGAATCTTGTTTTGCTGGCAATCCCGAGCTGCCGAGTGATATTTAGTCCTTGGCTTGTATCATACGCAAGGTTGTGGCGAACCAAGGAATCGCCCACGAATGCTATTTCTCGACAATTACCGATCCCAAAAGTGCATAAATTGAAAGCTTAGAGCTGTTTTGGGGGGCACTTCCTGAGCCGTACACAATAGCCTACGTCGACCGACTCAAAAAGGCTCCTGCGGATGAAGGAGAGGGACTGGAGGAATTGCGTTGGTGATCATGAACAACGAAAATTCCGAGGTCTCATTCTAGAGGTAATGCTTGAGGATCCAGATAACGGGCCACTCAAAATCATGAGCAGACCCAAGGTATATGAAATCGAGAAAGCCAATAGAGGCGATGGGCAAAAAAGTCGGTTACAATGATATGATCCGTATTCTTCTCGCAAGAAAGATGTCCACCCACCCAATTTCGCTTGGCCCAAATGAGACAGTCATAAATAGCCCTTCCTTTTTCAAAGACAATATAACCCTGAAGCCATTATCAAGCAAGGATGTACAGCTCCTGGGAGATCTGAGGAACAAAATTATAAAGTACAGGCCGGAAGAGCGCATCACTACTAGGTATCGACGAAGTCTTGCAGCATGATTGGTTCTATAGAAACAGGGCGTCAAATGAGAGAAAATCCATGATACAATCGGAAGATGACGAAAAGAATGGGTATTCGTAGCTTACTGGCCTCCATTGGATGGGGGAAGGATAGATTTCTAGAACATTCTAGATTGGCTTTCATAGTCTTCGACTCGAAACGAATGTTTGGAAAAGTCTTATCACTATTCCCCCAAGTATCTTGTAGATATCTAACCTAGTAAGTAGATGTACGCCTTAGTCAACTGGTGTTTGATAGATCTCTGTTCATGCTTCGCTTGGAGCATTCACGAAATGTGGTGTGGCGGCATCGTGGGGGAAAATGTGGAACATAACGGACAGGCAAGGGGTGATGAAATTAATGAAATGAGTTACAATTATTATGCTTGACAACCAAGTGTCATATAGTGATTAACAGACCTCGTCCCCGAGACTAGAGATATCTAGTACTCAGGGTACCTACCTAGGTAGGTAGGTAGGCCGATATACACTAAAGACCAACATGATCTTCCGAACGAAACATGTATAACCGGAAAATTTGCCTTCCCAGTCCTAGTTTTTACAGTGTCCATATACGGTATGTATCCTATAGGGCTCGAATCCCACTAGGTGCCTACCTAGATAGGCAAACGAAGTTTTAAAAGATCATTATCATTACATATACCTACCTAGGTAGGCATTGCAGCTGATCTGAAAATTGTTTCTTGTGAATAATACAAGAAGCTAAGTTAACCTTCAGGTCTGTGTTTCCACCTCTATCATAATGCGTATTCGAGTTCAGCCGTTTGCGTTTCTTAGGAATTGCCGGTTGAGGGTTGGAATGCCGTGACTCTCTGCCATTCGTTGATGGCAGCCGTCGTGACGTATCGGGCGTCAATCTGTAGAGTACACGTGGATTAGATTTATTTACATATCCATGGATTCGAGCAATATGGATATGGGTAGGTTGAGGGGGGGAAAGGGAAAAAGCGAAAAGCGATAATGTCCAGGAGGGTAGAATTGGTACTTACCCAAGAACTCGGCCATGCCATGCCGGTTCGGTAATCGTACCCTGTCCAATCGACTAAATAGAGGAGTCGGTTGTCATGTGCATGGGCTTCGGCGATGATTGACCGAATGCGATACCAGCCTGGGCGTCCGGTGAAAATGCCGCTGTCCTGTGCCTCACTGGCTACCATTTGCGCACGACTAACATCGACTTCACGACCATTGTGAGAACTATGCCCAGCGTCCATAAATTCCGCGATTTGTCGCGGCCGCCGCCCCACCTGACGTGCCCGAGGATTGGGGGCTGGTGGTGGAGTGGTGGTCGAGGCAATGAGACCAATCCGGTCGGGAGGGGTTCTCGGTATAGATGTAGACGACGTGCTGGACTGCGTGCGTGCCGTGGTTGGCGATGGCATCGACTTCTTGTCAACAGAAACAGATGGCGTAATTGGCGGAGTTGTTAATAGATCACGACCAGTGGCGAGAACAGCAGCATGACCAATGCGACTCTCTCGGATTGCTCGCCGCATCGAGCTTCGCTGAGATACGGTATTACGTGAAACAATACCTTGACTGGAGACAGGTCCAAGGGTGGCCCGCCTCCGAGCGTTGGCACTATTCGCGACTTTGGGCTTTCGATTGGGCGCCATAGTAGCTGCTATGTTAATAATGACGATATCACAAACTGTATTTCATTCAATCATTCTAGGCCATGACAATGTAACCGGAGACGTAGGAATATCAACGTGGGTAACGAGGTTGCCAAACGGCATTGAGTTAAAACATCAGAAACGTCCAGAGAAGGGTTGGGAATAGAGCTGGTTTGACTGGCACCTATGCTGAAAATGGGGAAGGGAAAAGTTTACAAGTTTACAGGGAATATTGAACTCGAAAGAAACACAGATAGGTACATGTAGACAGGTAGGCAAGAAGACAGGCAGGTAGGTCCTAGCAGATGAGTGTATGTATCCATAATGTAACAACCGTCTATAATCGAGTCTGGCCAAGATATGCGGCTAGGTAACCTTATTGTAGACGGATAGTCGAAACCTAAAGTCGAAGCATGAGGACGATGAATACTAAGCAAAACGAGTGATGTGAATCAACACCTTGAAAGAACAGAAAAGGGGGTGGGGGGGCTTGTTGATATCTACGTATCAATACTTTACTGTACCCTCGGATGGAGGAAACTCGAGTATGGGAGGGCGGTATAAGGGAGTTGAGAGAAAGACAAGACCAATGATGGTTTCCCGTATGCCCGGCTTCTAGGTACCTAGTGAATCTCATCTCTCTCCATTATGACAATGCAGAGTTGGCTGAGAACCGCAAACGTTTCTGGGGATGCTGTCCCTAATGCAATGTCTCTGTCTTCACTAGCATCCAGTGTCAACCTGTCCGTTTTTGACTTCCATCATACAACAATCCCCACCCGGCATTAGTTCGTGGCTCATCCGCCCAACTTTCTGGATGACTAATCATTAATTTTGTTCCGTCCCCTGAAGGCGTCTTAGAACGTCTCCTGGTCATCTAGCGCCTCGCCTTCGGCGGGAATCTCGAATCCTTCCTCGGTAGAATACAGTATCGACTGGATCGCCTTGATGAGACCGTCCTCCTGCTTCTCGATCTCGGGGTCCTCCTCGACAGCCTGTTGGATTAGGAGTTCGATGTCTCGTAGCTTGCTAAAGTAAAAGTCTCGTTCGCGTTCGAGGCCGACGACTGTCTCCTTTAGGGTCGCGTTCTCTTGCATCAGGGCAGCCGATGCAGCGCCGCCACCGCCAGCCTTGCCCAAACGTGGGCCGGTTGTGGGCGTGGTGCCACCTCGTCGAGCTGCAGCCGATCCGGCACCCCCAGTTGCTCGCGCGCCGCCGCCGCCGCCACCAGCAGGGAGAGCTCCACCCTTTCTTCGTGCGACGGCATCATAGTCACCACCTGGGTAGTACTGGTCCCAATATCGCTTAGTCCACTGTAAGAACTCGAGGTTGTCTTGCATCTTGCATTTGACGAGGGCCTCAACGGGGACGGGCTTGTCAACGGCGTGCTTGGCGAAGGTGTCTGGAGAAAAAAAGAAGCAATTGTCAGTATAGATAGGGATGGATGAGTTATGGACTATGGACTTTGATTTATGGGGTAATGTCAAGTAGGCAAGAGTCGGGAAGAACTGACTTTGTAAGACCTTGAAATTTTGGATGTAGGCATACTCCGAGTTGACATTAAACTTGACGCGAGACATGGGAACATCGAGAAAGATGCTGTCGAAGACCTGGCAAAGAGCCGCACTGCATTATCGTCGAGGTCGCAGGTTAGCTTAGATGTCACTATGATTATGCTATAGTACTAGGGCGGATGGATGTGATGGCAGAGTTCAAGTTATGGGCTTGGTATTTCATCCTTATAGGGGTAAGGACTTGGATGCGAGGTTTAGTTTGGCGGGGGAGGGGTAAAATAGAAAACCACAAGGATGATCCTACCCAGTACCACATTGTTCGACCTTGGTGATGTTCAACTGGAGGAGGCTGTTGAGCCATGCCACCAGCTCCTGTCTGTTTGTGAATGACGAAACGTCAGTCGCGGATCTTCATCTACAGCTGGAAGAAACGGGGGGGGAACAATGAAGTCATTGTTGCTTACCGAGATTCACCCATGTCTACTTAGGGATAGCAAGTAACAAGTTGGAATTAAAGACGCGAAAATGTTGGATAAAGAGAAGAGAAGACTAGAGATGCGAGTCGGATGCTTGACCCAAGAAAAGATGAAGGGTGCGACTGCGCGTGGATTGCGAAGGCGGTAGAAGAAGAAAAAAAATGGGAACGCCGAGTTTGTTGTTTTATTTTGGAAATTTGGTAGGTCGTAGAAGTACTAGGTAGAAAATTGATGGAGATTCGATGTCGCCTAACCACCGTGATTGCCTCTAATCAGGTACAAGGTACTTGGAGTACCTATGTAATGTCACTGGTACCAGCAACACAATTGATCTTATCAACGTATGCATCCCGCACGCCATCCAATTGATGTCCATCAATGATGCCTACCTAGTACCTAGTACCTAGTAGTAGTTATGTACCCGAAGATTATCCCTTTCAATTGTAGTTACAACATACATATCAATTCGTACATCAAAGTAACACAACGATCACCTGATTCAAATATTTACATAACTACTTCGTACAATACCTATGTACATTTCGAGTGGGGTCAATCTTTTGAATCAACAACATTGAACATCAATGGATTGAATTGAACAAATGTTCTAAACTCCAACAACACAACACATGCACATGCAGTCAAGAGTCATCATTCGTATGTAACAGCACGAATGTATTGAAAATATGTAATCGAAAGGTTCACTTTTCATTGCAGCAGCTGGCCATATCGTATGAATTTTTATTCATGCTCAACAGCCAGGTTCCCTACGTACCTCCTCCAGGAGGGCTCCTCGGTAGCCCTGGGGGTCCAGTGGAGTGTAGGCAATCACTGCTGGCAGTATCCCTAGCTGTCGTGCTTTCAAAAGTGCCCAGGATAATATAAATATTTTCGGCGCTTAACGAACGAGCAACTTGATCAACCCTTTCTAGGTGTATTTACAGGAGAGCCACTCTCCAGTATACAATACAATTTGTCAAGTGTCTACCTAAGAGCACACGAGGGTTCACATGGAATAAAGACGACTTACGTGTATACGTAGCTTCCATGGTCTCCTGGAGATGTTAGAGATCCCCGCGCAACAACGATGTTGTTCTGCGTCTTCTAGGTTCCGCCTCGTGACACAAATTGATCTTCACGCATAGTCATACAAATCGGTGATGACATACTTGGTCCGTGAAAGGCAAGTTATTCCGTTTACTATTTCTCCAGTGTAATACAGGTTGGTATCACCAGATCCCTCTACTTTGGAACGTCTAATAGTATAAAGTTGGACGGACAGTCCCCCTTTGTCATACTTTATTCTCGATCTCCATCATACATGCCCCCTAAGTAGTCTTGTCTCGGTGTTACATACCTAGTAGACTCATATTCAACGAAGGATTTCCACCATGAGTGGAGTCATTGAAGACACTCTTATCGAGATCGCGATTGTTGGTGGCGGCATCATCGGACTCTCACTCACCGCAGGCTTGATCAAGCAAAATGTCAATGTCAAGGTCTACGAATAAGCTCAAAGCTTTTGAAAGATCGGAGCTGGAATGACATTCACGGCAAACGCCATCCGATGCATGGAATTGATGAACCCCGACATTGTTAGCGCTCTCAGATTAGGGGGTTCCGTAGCGATTTCTCTAACCTAGATGACAATGACCCGAACGATAACCTACGGTGGGTTCATGGATACAACAAGCGTAAAAAAGAAGACCCCTTTTATCAGCAAGCGTTATTCAAGGTTGATGCAGGATACCATGGCTTTGACGGAACACGGCGTGACCGTTTCTTAGAAGCATTGGATAAAATCATCCCACGGAGGATCGTAGAACTCAAGAAGCGCCTAGATACAATTGAAAAGAAATCTGATGGGAGAATCCAGCTTAAATTCACTGATGGAACATGGGCCGAGGCTGATTTTGGTGAGTTTGATTATTTGCCATTATCTATGAAGGTTGCAGTTGGTATATTGACACGTAATTGCTGACATCTACAATGCTCGTAGTTATTAGAACCGACGGTATCAAGTCCCGTGTTCGCGAACTCATGTTTGGTCTCGATAACCCAATCTCCTTTCCGCACTACACGCACCAGATCGCATACAGAGCCCTAATCCCGATGACCAAGGCCATCCAGGCGCTCGGAGAATACATAGCTAGGAACCAGCACAACCACGTTGAACCGAACGCGAACTTGATCTACTATCTGGTTGAGAACCAGACTATGATCAATACGACAGCCTTTGTGTTTGATCCCAATGAGTGGCCAGACGACAAGGTCATTGTTGTGCCAGGCCTTCGCACTGACTTGGAGAAAGCGTTCGCGCAATGGAATCCTTGTTTCACTGCCCTTATTCAGCACTTCCCCGAGAAACTCGAGAAATGGGCTGTTTTCGACACGTGTGACTATCCAGCTCCTCACTTCAACCAGGGCGTTATCTATTTAACCGGCGACGCCGCGCATGCTTCTAGCCCGCACCACGGCGCTAGCGCGTGCTGCGGTATTGAAGATGCGCTGTGTCTGTGCACTCTAATAGACCAAGTGAATTGTTCGCTCCGTGGAAACTCGGCCATTACCAAGGAAGAGGCTCTCTGCGCGGCATTTATCGTGTTTGATGCAACACGCCGTACCAGGGGTCAATGGCTTGTCAATAGTAGCCGTCGTGTATGCGACCTGTATCACCAGCCGGAATGGAGCGACGAGAAGAAGTGGATCAAAGCCGAGACGTGCTTTGAAGAGATCAAGGATCGATCTCTGAAGATTTCGCATTTCGATTACGATGCCATGATGAAGACAGCAGTACAAGAGTACGCTAAAATGTTACCTGCTAAGGTGTAGGCCGTCTCCTATATGGCCCAGGAGCCCAATGATAAAACTGTACCTAACCAACGACATGGCAATCACTGTTAGTCATTGCTGTCAAGAGGCGGAACCATAACAGCGGCAATGCGCGGAGGTCTCTAACATACCTCGAGAGACTATGGAGGCTGCATACTTATATACCTATAATTGTCGCCTTCTCTGCCTTAGCTAGCCTCTGGGTAGACTCTTGGCCATGGTGGTCAATTTTCTCGTGCCAATGTAAGTAGAAACTGTATCTGTTACCTACATATAATAGATATGCGTCATTATACTCAGCGGCGGATGCGGACACCATCTATGCGAAGAGAAGGAGGTGCAGGGCGAGCTTTATGATATACTGATTGATACCTACACATAGTCTCCATTTGATCAAGATAGGGGTAATGATGCAGCTACATATATTGTGTGTAGCCACAATATCTCGGTATTCATACCTAGGTACCTAGATATACGAAACAACCCCCCGACGCTCTCACACCATATATTTATCCGATGACTCAATTTAGTTCTCAACGTTAGCAACTTGGCCTTGGTGGTCCTACATATTTACATAAGTAGTACCACTAGCCGGCGAGAAACGCCACACGCAATGCACGTAACTAACTAGAGTTGACGTATTGTCTTCAGTCCACTGTTTGTCCGATCTTCAGATCGAGACCTTCATGTTCGCTCTTTGGTTCCCTATGACAATCTATTACAGTATCTTGGTTAAAATATACACTTATTTCGAGACAAGATCATATTCGCTGCAACCGATGTCCGCGTACAGTAGAGTTGATGACCCCGTCCGGGGCCTTGGTCTCGGGACCGGAATGATTGTATCGCCTACATTTCACATGGATGATCTCTACCTAGGTTAGGTCGGTAAGATTCATCTGTATCGGAAGTTTGGTGGATCCTACAATTAAGCCACATATGTACGTCTTGTCACGGTGATAATCCAATAGCTAATGTAGATGACCTTGGAATACTTGATGCCTACTAGGTCGAATCAACCTGCGTACGAGCGTGCACCTCACAGGCATCCTTAGTACAAGGCTCAATAATCCTCTTCTTCAAGCCACGCCTGGATTAAGCATACCTATCACATAAGCGCCAAGGCAAGTAGGTATACACTACCTACCGAGGTATTGTACCTAGAGTTACAGCCCTAGGAACAAGGAGCTAACCACATCACGGGCCGGTCCAGTGCTTTGGTCTATCTAACTATACGGTGCATGCCCAACGCCCTACATATTTATATGTAGGTATGGTGTCCATGGGTGAAGTACAGTACCCCTTGGCGGTGTACCACCCTGCAAAAATTGGGTACATGCATATAACCCATCAGCAAGCCACCACAGGTTCCTCAACATGATAGATGATAAACGTCACCCAGCCTTGCTGCCGATCTTTTCCACCGCCTTAACTATTTCTAGTCTCGGGCTTACGACCTTTTCGTCCGATGGTGGTCATAGTTATGACGGTTGGAAGCAACCACTTCACCTTGCATCGAGTAAGGTTTGGGAAGACAACTTGGAACCTTGTAAAAGAGAGAAAGAGAGAAGAGAGAAGAGCATTTTTCCTGCCTGAGTTGCAGCAAGTAATACCACGTTAGGTATGTGCTTACTTAGGAAAATATAACCTTATGTTAAGAGGTGGGCACCGGATTAGATGTTTTTTTTTTCTGAAAATTGTGAAGCGAAATGTGTGTAACCAACAATGAACACAACAAGAGCGAGACTCGAAATAATATGTACCTACCTAGTAGGTAGGTAGCTTAGGTTAGACAATGTAACCTGTGACTATGTTCATGAAGCAACTTGTGTTGAATATCTTACTTGCTTCTTATGTACTAGGTCGGTACCTATGTTTGTTTCATGCTTTATGCCCTGTGTCTTGTGTTATAGTCCAACCGTTTTTATGTGATATCCAAAGTTAGATCCAAACGCCTCGCCACACCCCATATCCCTCTTATGCGATGAATACTGAGCCCGACCGCCCTAGAACGCTTCATATCGTTGGTAAGGCCTTGTCAAATCTACCCCCCCCCCCCTTTCCCCTACCTGACCATATACTATTATAACCGTTGGTGATGAAAGAAAGTAGCTTATGTTAGGTAGGTACTTAGTAGGTATAAGAATACATGCTTGACTTCGATGCTTCGCATCCCACCCTCTATCGTGGGTAAGCCCCGAGACCAGGGGTGAGGTTGCTGAAACTCATTAAGCCATGCATGGCCTCTATTATATTTTGAAGTTGCTTGTTATATGTATCCCCTAGCTCATGGCACGAGACGAAAAACTCTGCACATAGTGATAACGGTATCGGTGTGAGAGGATGCACCTTGAGAGATCTTAATAATGCATCCTTGACATGGGTGGCTGTTGGGAAAAACATGGACAAGACAGGCATGCGGCTTACCTTGAACGAATTCAGCTGAGATAACTTGTTAGTCAATCCTACGATTTCCTTGGCAGCCATCGTTGACTGTCTCGTGTAATCGGCTAGGACTGTCATCTTCTCCTCCGTTGGATGTATTACGGACTTCAAGATCTGGTACATGTAAAGGACCGTTGTGTGCCACATCATGCCGATGAAAAGTAACATCGGATCTGCGTCCTGTAAGGCGACGGGGTAGTTCAGCGAAAACACACCCATCCGCTGGGTAAGTGTGGCATTGATCCATTCCTGTCGCTGCCAGAAATCTCTTGACTCGTTGAGATATAAGGTGTCGACCATGGACTGCTGTCGGTGACATAATGCACGGCCGATGACGGTGGCTACAACGATACATTCGGTAAATGCCGATGTAGACATGGAGTCCCGGGATGCTACGGCATCCGAAAGAAAGCCGTTTGAAGTAGGCTGCTCATTTTGAAAATCTGTTTCTGGAGCTGGAAGGCGGATCGGGTTCTAGCTCATACGGATCATACAGTCAGCGTCAAGATTCGTGACCAAACCAGTGGGGGGGGCTCTTCTACCATTACTTGTTCGCTAAATGTTATTGGAGAATTATTGCGGACGCTCACAAAACGATCTAGGCAGTAAGCCAGCCAAATAGTCCTTCGCCTCTGCTCAGCATCGACCCAATCCGTCTGCCCTAGGCTTATGTCCGGCCCATCCGAGTATTGTAGCCAATTGAGTTGGATCAGTCTGAACGCGCGGCCGGCGCTCACCCAACCCCTACTGAAGTCGATACACATGAACTCGTGGACAGCCAGGAGTAACCAAGCTTGTACCTGCTCTAATTCAGTAATCATAAGGCCCGTCCCTTTCGAGTCAAGACTCTCGAGAGCCCGTCGGGTGTAGTGATATAATGAATCTCCGATATTCTGGTAATGCGCTGACACTGACGCAGCTAGAGTCCACATGGCATACCGTAAACATGCCCGAGCATCCGTTTTCGCTATACTACGCGCCCACGAGAAGTATCGTCGTTGATGTATGATGGGCGCGAAGGTATGTACTCTGTCGAAGTATAGCTGATCTCTACCCCCCAGAGTTAGGACAAGCCCGATATGGAAGAATGGAAACCAACGCGCTTACAGATCTGCTTGCATCAAATTTGAGATATTCCTGCCATCTAATCCGTCCACGAGCTCGGGGATTTTCCGGTTTATTACTGCATCAGGGAAATTCATTCCATCAGTCGGGGTCGCGAACCCCTGTATAGGAGAAGTAGAAGTGTGGACGGAGCCCCCATCTAACGAAGATGTGCCCGATCTTGTGCCTGGTGTCATTCCTTGACACAGGTCATGGAGTGTTGCGTTCTCATCTCGAGCAATCGGGAAGTCCCAAGGTAACGAGGTATGGTCAGTGAATGTGAGATTCTCAATGGAGTTGTCTTCGGGCGGTAATGAAATTGCATTTTTATTGCTGTTTTGTGTATGCTGCTGATGTTGCTGTTGCTGGAGCAGAGTGCCTTCTAAAGTAGCTTGCGAGGGGTCAAAATGCCATGTCAGCGTAGATTCAGATTCATATATGCTGTGCATCAAAACTAGATCTCGCTATCTCTGTGGTGTGACCACAATGCTGGGGTTGAGACATGACATACCGATTCGAGCTTGCAAGGCCTTCAAGTAACCTCGTTTGGGCCCACGAGGAGGACGAGGCGTTGTGACTTGGCATTGCACACCTGAGGATAGGCAAAGGCCACATGAGGGCTGTTGCCGGTCACAGCGCACTTTACGGCGACGGCATTCTTCGCAGGCTTGCGCAAGACAATATGCATCAGTATTGTGCATGTTCAATGAAGCAGTTATGATATATATTCGCTCGCTCACCTGTTACCAGACGTACGAGCATGCGGGTTGGTAACTCTCAAGTTTCACTTGTGCGTCTTCGTGCACAAATGAGCCCCGAGGACACCCCGCAATTCCGTACATATATCGTCAGTCGAATCTTCATGAACATGTAGGCAGTTCTGGACTAGCTCTGCATACCTGCACCTGGGTTTTGTCGCGCTGGTGGGTTTGATGACTTCACGCTGAGGTCAACGGATTGAGGCATGCTTCGCAGCGAAAGCTTCGAATTTTCTTCGGATATTCTTAAGACAAACTAGAAAGGCTCATCGAAAACTAGCAACGGCTGAGAGGCGCATAGCTTTAAAACGAGTCTACGTGTGTAAAGGGAGGAGAAGGAGAAGGAGCATATAAGTGCACAAGTTCGTATATTCCTAGTTAAGGACGTATGACGCTAATATACGTCGCCTCTAAGGGACCCCAAGACTTCATCACCGTAATGGCTATTCGCTAAGCTGTGAGGCGTTTCCAATAGGCGATATACTTACATAGCTTGCAAGAGTCCTAGGATGGTACTTCTAGTAGGGGTATTCGGTACCTAGTGTGTGGTGACTGGGCTATCCCTAGGTGGGTGGTTTCAGGGGGGCTTGCTGACCAAAGATATAACTGGGGTAAGTTGTAAATGGCTAACATCCTAGAGGAGATAAACTTCTACAGGATCGGATTCCGATTATGTAGTCAACACACCTGCCTGCTATTAAACAATGCCATCCTCGAAGGAGAAGGATGCGGGATGTGGCTTGATCTTGGAGGGACCTAGGGGGCAGATTTATGTTAACACAGGATGGTCCCTCCTCTTCGTTGTTCGAAATTATCATGCAAGGCACATAGACTCAAGGTGCTTAATTTTGGACACTCCACCGCCCATGCCATGTTACGCTTCTATGTGCTACCTACGTATCCGTACCTAGGTACCTAGGATCGGAATTGGGGATGGCGAGTGACTACGCAGTCCATCGTTGCTACATCTCAGGGCTAGATGCACACTAGGTAGGTAGATAGATGAAGATATATGGGCCAATCGGGTCTGAAGGTTGAGTTGGTGATCGTACTACTCAGTATGTATAAGACGGGCTATCTGCGTGCCGTCTTAGAAGTATCATACGACCTATTATATACCTAGTAGGTACATACGTATGTAGTACGCATTATACCTGTGTTACTTGTGCGGGTATTGTATTCCCACGTAAGCATCGGCATAGGCTAGTTGTGTTACGGCTTCTACAGATCCCATAGGTCCAGCCAATCGCTTGGTGTTGCATGGTACGACGTAGCATGGCAATGGATGCTCCTCGACTCAGTTATATACTGGGTACCTACATATGTACCTACCTATGTATGTCTCAAACATGATTTTGGTACACATATCGTGCAAACGTGGGGGAACAAGGAAGTTGGTAGTCTGAGGCTCTTTGGATACTACTAAGATTATGTCAAGTTCCAACGCCTGTCATGCATACACCGTAAGACAGTGTGATCAGCCGCCCAGTGATTAGTACCATACTAGGTAAATATCTAGGTGGTCCTATACGATGCCATAGGCACCAAAGCAGCTCCCGAGGCACCCATATCAGGGCCATGATATCAAGAGCAGCTCTCACGCTCCAATAGACTGCGTATCTTAGCAACCATAAGTCGTGCTGATCGATAGGCTATGGTCATCGGTTCCACCTTGTAGACTTCCCAACGTTTCCTAACCGGAACTGAATAGAAGTAAATACATGATAATTTCATAGATACTAGGTACCTTAGGTAGACACCTCCTTACGCTGTGCGGAACTACATCTCTTAGTGCCAGCTTGGCCTTTTTTAGAGGAGGAACAATACTCGGGCGGATCTAATAGAAAAAAAAGGCTTCTAAATCTATCTTTAGCAAGTCTAGATGCAATTAGATAGTGATCGTGGTGTTACCATAGGGCGACTAAGTGGAGGACCAGTCGCATGGCTAATGGCGATCTTCTTATTCGTACCCCTGATCCCACGCGGTCGAGCACATGGCTCGTACATATTTACGTAGGTACTACACTATGCAAAGAAGCTCGCGGATATTATCATGTCCTACAGTCCGCAAATATCCAAGATATGTAACATTCCCTACTTCTCACAGGCAAAGTCACCGTTGACGCCACACTCGTTTATCGATCAATTGAAAATATTAGAATGCCATACCCAACACGCAAGACGTCAATGTCATATATGATGGTTGGAATGAACATGGCTGATAACGTGGACATGTCGTGCGACTATAGACAGTTGACGCAGGAGGCTTTAGTACCAACATGTAGTTACATATGAAGTACTGTCTAGATACCTACGTAGTAAGTATCTAAATACATACTTAGGTATGTACCTCAGCAACTACCTAGTAGGCAGCTATGTAGGTAAGCCATCCTTTCATCTTCGAAGGAAGATGGCCTTGAAATGGAAGGAAAGGTGCCACGATATACTGCAAAAGATGGGTTTGCATGCACGTCAAGAACTCAGGTCTCTGAAAGGTTCTTTTCTCAGGTTTGCGATAGGTAGGTCCCCTCGTAAGACCTTGTTCGCTTGGGAACTAAAGGAAGAGATCTACCGATACAGCCTTGTTCAACTTCTTTAACCCTGACGTGGACGCCACCAATTGATCTATGCGATATATCTTAAGCATTAACTCTGTTGAGTCTCAAAGCTTCACAGTATGCTATCTACCTTTTAAGAGACGCATTGGGTATAAGTCAATGCTATATATGTCTTGTATCTCGGGTTTTTTACTGTAGCTCAGTCTCTATTACGCGGCCCCGACTCTACTAGGTTAACCTAAATACTCTTATGAGTAACTAATGGATACGATGAATTTACAAAGTACATGTAAGGCAGCATGTAGGCAGCTCATTTGCATATTTGCAGTACGTAGGTTCATATCAAATAATATGATTATTGAGGTGAGAGTTGTATTGATCAAGAGAGAATAATTTTATGAACAAACAGAAGACTTTGATAAATATATATAAATGTAAACGTATTGCCTATTAAAGTATTATGTGGACGAGTTGCTTACGTAATTAACCAGAAATCATATGATTTTGTTTTGATATATTCCTTTAAACTTTGCTATTCTTGGTATTGTTTGTTTAGATTTAGTTGTTTTGGGATTGTTTAATCATATTAGTAATTTCTTTATCCTCCCAAATCTAAAAATAGTCTTTAATGTTTATTAGTTTAATCTATTAAATAAACTTCTTAAATAAAATGTTAATAAGTGCTTTAGTTAATCCGTTTGCGATTATCTTTTCGGTTAAAATGTATTATACCTTAATAATGCCTTGTATTACCTCTTATCTTAACTAATAATTATATATATTTATATGCCTTAGTTTGGTTTATAACTTTTTTATATCTTTTTATATTATTTTTATAGTTTAAATATTGTCGCATTAAATGATAATAGTAGATTTATTTAATGATACCTTTAATTTTTTTATTAATCGTATAATAAATATTAATTTTTTAGCAGCTTATGATAATATTAATAACTTTACTTTTATAGTTAACATAATTATAATATCTTGTTTATTTGTTTTTTATACAATCAATTTTTTAAAGAGTTTTATGGCATATATTTATAAACTTTTTTAGTTTAAAAAATTATCTATAAAAAAAACATCACTTATTATTTTAAATTCGTTTTTTCCTTTAAATTAAAGTTTTAAACTATCGGTTTAATTTATATAATGAAGCATATAATTAATTACGGCTTAATATTATAGTTTAAAATTTACGAAAAATTGTAATAATTTAAAGTAAGCGAATGTAATATTTAATTATATGTTAAATACTACGTAAAGTATTAAATTTATTTTCTTTTAATATTTTATAATTAACTTAAATAATACTTTTCCTTCGTATAATAATAATTCTTCTTTTATTATAAGGTGTAAAGGATTCTTAAATGTGTTTATATTTATTAGGTTAGTAATTTTATAAATATAATTGGTTTGGTTTAACTAGATTAAACCCTTGGCTTGGTTTTTTATTATAGTTATATTAAGAAACTATTATAAATCGTTTCCTTTTATTAGTTAATACTTTTTTTTTAGTTTTTTTATTAACTTTTTAGTCTTTTCTTCATCTTTTTTTCGATATGTAAGTATTAAGTTATTGATATAAAAAAATAATAAAATTCCATTTTTGCGGTATACGTATAATTCGTAAGAAATTAGTTTAAAATTTATTAATTAAAAGAATTATGTAAACTTTTTTTGTTATAATAATGGTAATTCTCGCATTTTATATAATGCTTTTTTTAATTTAAGAATCTTTCCAGGTGTTTTATATTTTTAAGGTATTTACATGAATACGTTATATGGGATTTTTACATTTATAAACGCGTTAATAATATTAAATTGCTTTAGTTTTAAATTAAACCGTGTTATAATAGCCATTAATGTTTAAAATAATTTTCTTATTAAGGTGGAAGCGTATATTTCTTCCACTTTTAACCTCTTTTATTAATTATCCTTAATAATAATCCTTGTTTTACACTTTTAAAACTTTTCATACTTATTTATTTTATAAATATATACCTATATTAAGTTAATAATTTGCTTTTTTTGATATCGTAAGTTATTACATAAAATTTTTTTTTATATTTTTATTTATATATAACTTTTTAAATGTTCTCGTTTTACTTCCTTAAATAAGTTAGTCATTAAATAATTCTTTACTTTTTTATAATGTTTTAATAAAGATAATAAGTTTTTCCTATGAATTTTCTTTAGATTCTTAAATAATTGTAAGAATTATGCCTTGTTAATACTTTCCTTATTTATTATTCCTACTTTTACTTTTAAGCGTTTTACGTTAAACGTAGAATGTTAAATCGTTGGTTAAGCGTTTAAAATTAAATGTATATTTTAAATTATTTATAATATATAATAAATTATATTTCTTATAAACTTGTTAAGATTAAGGGTTATTAACATTTATTCCTTAAATTCGCTTAGTTAATTAAACTCGATTCTTAATTCACATATATTGTTTATTTTTTTATCTTTTAATAAAGCTTTTCTTATATTAACATTTTTTAATGTGTTAGGTTTTTTAATGTTTTAAACGTTTATAATGTTTTAATTATTATAATTTTCTTTATTAACTTTTTTATCTTTTACATAAATATTATAGTTATTTAAAATAAGGATTTCGTCTTAGGTAATGTTTTAAATTGGTTTTTTTGCTTTTTTTAATTATTTTTTATACTCTTTAATACTCACTTTAAACATATTATCTTAAAAATTATTTAAGTTTCTTAAAAATAAACTAATTTCGTTAAAAGTTATATCGCATATAACGATAACTTAATTAGTTTATGGATTTTATATTTAATAAATATTAATTAAATTATACCCCATAAAATATCCGATTTAAGTTCTAAGGTTAAGTCGTTATAATCGCTTTTCTTTATTTTATACCTCTTTTATTATAGTAAATGCTTTATAACCATAAACTTGTAAATATATTTATTATAGTTTTTAAATTTATACTTTATTACCGTTTTTTTATGTTATAAATGTATAAAACCATTTATATGGTAACTTTTAGTTATATATATACTTAGGTATTTAATTATATAAATACACCGCCGATTAATATATTTCCAGTCATAAAAATGTTAAAAGTTTTATATTATTACGCATAGCTTTAACCTTTATTTTAACCACACCCCTTAAACATTTAACCGCATCGTTTTATTCTTATATGCGTAAGGTTAAGGCTTTTATTCAAATATAAATGCCTTTAAAATATTTTTATATTTTTAACTTTATAATTATTATTTTATTATTTATTTTTACTACTTTAAGCGTAATTTTATATTAAATCTTAAAAATCTTAATTATATATTTTAAAGCGGTTATAATAAAAAAAGTTATACGATTTTTTAAGTAATAATTTTAAGTATATTTAAACCATCGGTTTAACATTAATATAAGATCTTTATAATTATTAAATAATTTTTCCAATAAATAAAAATTTAATATAAATCGCACTTTTAATTCTTCGTTTATATATCGTTTTTCACGTTTTATAAGACGTTTAAGTTTTAACATATTACACGTATTATATTTTATAATAATTAAGCCGATAATTTTTACCCCTTAAAAGTAATTAATTAAGTGTTTTAACGCTTGTAATCTTAAATAACTTAATTATAAATGTTATATTTTTACACTTTTCCATTTTATAACGTATTTTATTCGTAAATTAATAGCTTTTATTCGTACATAAAAAGCTTTTTCATTTATTTTATATGAAATGTTTTTTAATATAAACTAGTTATATCGGTTAAGCACTTCATATAAAATAAAATTATCTTATCGTTTAATATATGTTCGCATATATTTATTATTTTAATAATATTTTTATCGTTTTAAAAGTCGCAAAAATACTAATTTATAAGCGAAATTTTAGTAATACGTTACGTTTAATATTCGTAGGAATTTATAATCCCTTAAGCCTTTAACTTTTATTTTTATATCTTTATACCTAATAACTAATACCGTAATTATGCCAATTATTATTATATTTCTTTTTAATGCATTTTAATAATTAAAAAATCGAAACTTTTCGTTAAAAATATAAATAATACTTCTTAAATCAAAAATAATTAAATATATAAGAGAATAATATAAAACATTATATATTATTTTCTTAGCTTTAATCGATATAATAAAAGCTTATATCATTATTAATATTACGCCGATACGTTATATCGTCGTTATTAGTTAATTTTCTTCTTTTTTTTTTTACTCCTCTTCGGATTTAAGGTAAAAAGCAAATTTCTAAGCTCGTTTCTTAAGTTTTTCTACCTTTACTTTTAATTTTAATTAAGCTTTAAGATTTCTTTTATATATTTTTCGTCTAAATACTCCCTTTAAAATGTTATTTAATCTTAATTCCTTAAATATAAATTAATATTTTTTAATTGCATAATTTCCATAATATACTTTACAAATTATTAAGTTATTATTTAATATCGATAATGTTAATTATCTCGTTTATTTACTTAATCTTTTATTATATGTTAACCCTTATATTCTTTTACCTTTCTTAACCGGTTTACTTATTATCTTACCCTTTCCGGCTTTTAAGATTTCTTTTTCATCCTTATTTGCATATATTATTACAAATACTTCTTTTTTTACTTAGTTTTAATTTTAATTTATTTTATAGGTTTAAAATCTTATTTTTAATCCTTTTATTATATCCCGATAAAAGATTATATTGTCTAGAAAACTTTTTTTATTTATTTAAAAATATGTTAAGCACCACTTTCTTACATATCTATTAATAACTATTTATAAATTATTAAATTATATTATCGTTTTTTTAATATTTGGTATTTTTCTTATTTTAGCTTAAGCCATACATTCTTCTTATTAATTAATTTAAACGTATTAATTTTTCGACGGCTTAGTTAAAACAGCTATACGTTTTTTATATTTAATTTATGCTTTTATTAACTGTTCTTATTTATTTATACCTATTAATTTTTGGAGTTTTAAATATTATTTACACATGTCTATATTTAGTTTACATATCGTCTTAAAATAACTTAATATCACTATCTTATAACATAAATTTCTAAATTTTACAATACTTTTTTGCTCTTAATTATATTCCTTCTTTTCTTTTTTAAACAACGTTAAATTTATATTAAATTATTATAATTATATTTTAATTAAATAAATAACGTTAATATATTTTTAACGCTTTTATCTTAAAATATAATCCTTAATCTTAAGCTTTATTAATTCTTTTAATTATATATACCTTAGGTTATTAAATTCTACATTGTTTAAAATTAGTTTAATCTTATTTTAAACGTATAATTTTATTACTATCCCTTAGAATATAAGATTTCATATGTCTCATTAGTTTACTCCTTTAAGCATTAGGATTAAATCTTCACGGTCCGGCATATTTACAGGTTATGTTTAATCTTATTTAAGTAAAATATAATTAATATTAGTGTTTTTTATAATATTTTTAAGGTATTTACATATAAAACTCTTAATTATTAAATAATACGATTATTAAAATAAAAATTATATTAATTAGAAAAGAATAATTCTATAAACAAACAAAAGATTTTAACAAATATATGTAAATGCAAACGTATTGCCCATTAGAGTATCACGTGGACAAGTTGCCCATGTAATCAACCAGAAATCACATGACCTTGTTCTGACAGTTCACTCTGATTGAACCGAACCCTCCACACAGCCAACGCCTGCATATTATGTGCCTCCCAGGCAAACCCCGAGACAAACGTAACGCTGCGTAACCATAAAACCTTCAGATGTTCTCGCTTAGGTACTTTGTTTATTAGGAAACAGGGTGTTAGAGGAAATTGAGGCACCGGGCTCCGAGATCTGACGGATCACCCCATCTGCGTAAGATGCGATTGTGTGAAGTAAGGGTCAACTCCTGTAGATGATCCATCCGCCGCTTGGTATAGAGAACAAAGTAACTTAGCTACTAAGACACCTTTTCTCAAGATGCCGACCGCGTCCTATATATCCGAGCCCTTCCCGGGAAGGCCGGACTCGGGGGGCCGGCTTGCTGCCCTATTCATGGATATCACAAATAATAGCGATGACATGATAACATTGGAACATTTTGTTAAAGGTAAGAGCTAGGTTAGGGTACTTGTGTAGTGCAACTCAGCTACCGTTTCGCCATCTCTCCTTGTTGCCACATCCTTAACGCGGACAGGACAGCCATAGTTGCCCACCGCTCACCAAGAACTCCGCTGGCTCCTGTGCCTAGAAATCTAAACTTCATAACCGCATCTTGTCCTAAACTCCGTACCGAATTTGCCCATACAGCAACGCTAAGTATAACAGCAATTATAGAGATTAGTGTTGAACGGAGGAAATAAAATGAAAGGATATGAAATGGGTACAACTCACATCTCCCTCCCATCACTCGAAAATTCCCCGCCGCCTGTAAACGGCCAATCACCACCGACGCCGGGCGCCGGTTCAGTCGACATCCTCGTCAGCTTCCACCCCGATGTTGCTGCACCAAGGTGCCCCACAGCTGACCCGGCACTATGTCGCCATTCGAAAGTTTCGCGCCGAAGCCTCCCGAGGTTCTCAGGATTCGCCGTGCCCACGTCGACATCGAAAGCGTATGAGATGTGCGGCCAGCTGACTATTGTGCGCAGGGGCTCTTCTGGGGAGATACCGCTGCCAGAGCCAGGCAAAGTGATTACCGAATGAATACCACCGGTGAATGTCTTGTGTCGCTCCCCTGTCGCGAGCGTCGCATCGTCGACGCTAGGACCATTGTGTAGCGTCAGGTTTGGCTGCCCCGCTGAGGGGTTTGGGGTCTGTGAAATGGCAAAGAGTGCCTGTCCTCGGTTGTCATCGTTCGCTGCAATGTAGTATACTCCTTTCACCGGGCTGCCATGTTGCTTGTACAATGTCCAAGATACGGGGAAGCGGTGCGGCGTTGCGGATGCTGGTGGGGATGGGAAACTTGTCTGCGGCCGAGCTGCGTGAGGTGATAGCGGCGAGTTTGGCGTGGTGTCTGTCCTCACATCGGACCTGCGGGAGCCTGCTGATTGCTCCTTTTCCGGAAAACGGCTGTACGCCGGTGGTAAATCGTCTCCTGGATTCATAGTCGCGATATTGGGGGTGCGATTAGATTAGGCAACGGTACCTAGGTTAAATAGGTGCCTACTTTTGCCCGTTTATGGCCCCTTTTATTTATGTAAGGGAATTGCGTTGTTTCTGAGTCTACCGAGGGTATCTTGGGCTAGAATCTTGGAAGATTTCCAGGTTGAGATTTGTGGATCTTTTTGGTGGCTTCCATTAACGATTAATTGCCCAGGTGGTATTTAGGTACCTGTCTACCTAATGCAGGTACTAGGTAATCAACTCAGCCCCCTAACGGTTAACCTACGAAGTTATTCAACATTTCAAAATTGGTTCGTAGAACATGGAAGTGTGACTCTCAGTGAGTCCCAAGGTTGACTTCAACAGGATAGGTACCTGTGAATCACAACCCCTAAGAATGAGGTCCCTATTTTCTTTATCTTCAAATGTAATAATTCGCCTTTCATTTATGATAATAGTGAAACTAAATTGAATTAAACTCATGTTAATAATCTCACCAGCATTAAAGCTAACGGGTTCGAGGGCATCTATGTAAATAATAATATGTTAGAAAAGAAACATAACAGCGACGGTTGGAAGGACTCCAGGACGAAATCTGGGCCAACAATATGGTTTTGTAGTGCCCCATTGTCCCTAAAAGACATCTTTCTCGAAATACAAAGCACCTATCTCGTCATGAAGAAGCGTCGTAAGGAGATTATGGCCATCTTCAAAAGGCCCGAGAATGACCCTAATATAGCTCATCACCGTTTTGCTCTCCTCAATAGAGATTGTATCTATGTAGGTACTCAACCCCAAGCTAGAAACTCCTAAATATAATTCGATTTTGCCTAGGTTAGGGCAGACTTATCCAAACAGGAGGAGATAGGCTGGAATGGATATTTCTACATATTTATATCAAGTTCACTTCAGTGTCAAGTTCAAACATGTCCACCATTATACCTACCTATGTATGAAAGATTGGTCCGCATAGGTATCTATTCAACCTTACGAAGTTAAGAACACAGAACCACTGTGGAAAGAGGAATGTAGTTTTCAGTCTAGGTAATGACTCTAATCTGTCCCGGAAATGACCAAGTTCTTTCAATGCCCTCGAATTTATTCCTGTGACAAAGAGAGGGAGTCTGAGTTTCTTTGAGCTTAGTTTCAAGATTTTGTCAATTATCAGACATATGTGGTTGCGAATAATTACTCGGATTAACACTGCGTTATTACCTATACACCACAATGGTCCGGAACCCGGCCGTATGTAAGGCATATTCATTGTGAGCTTCATAAGCTCTACTTTTGCCATGATTCTTAATCTTTCTCAACTTACTACCTAAGTACTAGGTAATCATAGCAGGTCTACTTTGCCCATTGTTATCAACCCAACGCATTTGAACCCCCCCGCCCTATCTTTATCGTAATGAATTACGTCTGCTGTAGTTTGATTGTAAGATTATGTACACAAAGGCATTGTCAGAGAGAACTAAGAGCTTGAGTAGATGGCAGATTAAAGCATTAAGAGATAGTATGTAGGAATATATGTATGTATTATGGAACAAAACGGTTGCTTTATTCGATTTAACAGCAATGGAGTATATTATTTAGCCTATGGTTTATATGGTACAAACTAGGACACCACCCATGGGATTCCTTATAAAAGCTTGCCAAACGGCTGTAGATAACTACGTGCCTAGTTGAAGCTGAAATTGAAAACTGTAGTTTTTTTTGGACCATGGCACCTACATTCAAGAGGATATTCGCTCACAAAGGGATATTTCTCCCGTACAGAGCAAGACCTGGAGATAGGAATAGGCCTGTCGCACGCCGAGGTTTTCGACTGATTGAACTTATTCGGGAGGGGTTATATGTTGTTCAATCGGTTGCGAACGACAAGATGTATGTCGTAAAGACAGTGCGTCGTGTATATGACAAATGGGCTAGCGAGACGACCAAGGATGAATTCACGCACGATACACCCCACGATCTTAGAGTCTCAACTGTTCTAAATGCCGAAGTTCAGTTACCCAGACAGCTCCATTTTCCTCACATAGCGTTTTACCAACAAGTGGATGAAAGTCGCTGGGAACTATATTTCGAGTAAGCACCGTACCCGATACAAACCCCTGAAAAGACAAAAGACAAATGGCTAATGAGTTCCCCTGATTTTTTTAGTTGGTATAACGGAGGGACACTTGAAACCTTTATAGATGAGTATTACCGAAACAGCCTGAGAATTCCGGAGTCTTTCATTTGGCACGTTACAGCAGAACTATGTCAAGCCCTTGCATTCTTGTATTATGGCCAAAACTTGGCAGGAGTCAGACCGAAGAATTGGATCCCTGTTTATCACCGGGATATAGAGTCAAATAACATCTTTATTAATTACCCGCCACGGCGACCGGGAAGGATGCCCAATTCCGGAAATGTCACCAACGCTTTCCCACATATTGTGCTCTCGGATTTTCGGCAGTGTGCAATTCAGGGAGACCTCCCAGGTGATTTGAAGCCGGGCCAGTTCCCAGAACAGAACGAACCGAACGAGTGGGAAGACGTATATGAGCTTGGCCGGGTTTTGCGTAGTCTATGCATGACCCACGTTCCGTTCCCCGACGATGATGATACCGATCCTAATGCTAATATACCCGGGCAAATTAAAAACGAGGATAATGGATGGCTCGATCGTCCAGATAGTAGGCGATTGCAAGACGTCAACGGACATGAGATTGGGCCGATGTATTCCGTGGAGCTCATGAATGCTCTGAGAAGATTTGAATGGCCCAACCAGGAGAATCAGCTGATAACCGCTAACACCAACATAGACCACGTACCGAGTATGAACTGGGTAGTTGGAACGCTATTGCCGCTAGCCAAAGGTAGAATTGCTACTCATAGGACAGGTAGAAAGCCTGCTGGCTATTATACTCAGTGGGACGTTTCTTGGACTAGGCCGTATGAACCAATGCCGTTCGTGGCTAACCCTAATACTGATAACTTCAACCTCGCGAGCCTCATGACCAGATATGTCCAAAGAGAGGATTATGTAATTTGTGGTCTAGAGTATCCCGTGCCCCGGGATATTGAACTTTGAGCCTGGCAACCTTTAGAGATGTAGGAATGATAATATGTAGCTTACATAGGTACATAGCAGCTATTTTGAAAGATTGCAAAGATTGAAGATTGTACAAGTACCTTAAAGGTTGAGACTCTAGAGGTTAGGTAGTTATTAGGTTAGTGAGATAACATTGAAGTATGTAGTTATGTACATCTTAATAGTAACATGACATATAAAACAAATAAACCACTTCCATTAACTATAATAGCCCGGTCACTACAATACCATCTGCTAGGGATCTTAATAGCCCCCAATAACTAGGTCTAAACGCCTTATAGTAAACCTTAAATTCCTCCTCTAAAGACCTACAATTTTATGTGAACAATTAACTATCCCCACCTTCCTAAAGTGGAGTATGCTGCCTATTTGAGCCTAATGCATTTGATTAGTAGCCACTATTTAAAGGCGAAGTGGACACTGGGTTTACACCGCCCGGCACAAAAAAAAAAAGAAATTCACTTGCGAGTTCGACTTGCGAAACTAATACCTAAAATAACTGCTGCATGTTCCCTCTGTGACAAAGGCATAAGGTATAGCATACCTACCAAGATAAAAATTGCTAAAGACCTAATTGACAAAATTCTAATTCGCAATGACTTCCAAACGCAAGATTGACGATTTCATCTATACGTTGTCCGACAATGAAGAGCTTCCAAATGAGGAAGAACAGTTCCCCGAACCCAGTCCACCGAAGAAGAAGACCAAGAAAAATAAAAAGTCAGCCGTTCAGTTAGACGATGGCGATCACGACGACGATACTGGCATATGGGGCAAGAGGGAAAATGACGATGGAGCTATGGACTCCGACTTTGAATTTGCCCTAGACGGTACTACCGATTTCAGGACAGAAGATTTCGACGGTTGGGGGTTTGATGGTGCCAAGAAGGGCATGAATGGAACTGTGCAAAAGAGAATAGTGGACGTAGATGAGATCGTACGAAGACGGAGAGGGACCACTGAAGGGACTCACAGCGAAGTAAATGGCAAGAAGGAACAGGCCATTGACGATATTAGTGACGAAGTCGAAGAAGAGGAGGATATTGAGCTTGATGACGACGACGACGAAGTCCTCGCTGCAGATGGGTTCGGCATGGGCGCAGCCTCGGATGAAGAGTCGGGTGATGACGTGGAAGGAGATGAGCCGGATCAGGAGGAACGCGACGAGGAAGAAGATGCATCCGATAACGACTCTGTGGCAACACCCGTTGATCATCCAGACGATGCAGAAGAATCCGACGAAACGGACGAGGACGAGGATGACCCCGAGGAAGCAGCCAAGAGGGCAGCATTCTTCGCACCTGAAGATAAAAGATCAAATGGGAAGCAGAAAGGAAAGTCATCATTTCAAACAATGTCTCTCTCGAGACCCATTCTGCGCGGCCTCAATTCCCTCGGTTTCACCGAACCCACTCCGATCCAGGCCAAAACGATACCACTCGCATTGGAGGGAAAGGATCTGGTTGGTGGTGCTGTTACGGGGTCTGGAAAGACCGCTGCTTTCGTGGTCCCAATCTTAGAGCGGCTACTCTACCGGCCCAACAAGATCCCCACCACCAGAGTTTGCATTCTGACGCCTACCCGAGAACTTGCAATTCAGTGTCACGCGGTAGCAACCAAACTAGCAAGCCACACGGACATCAAATTCTGCTTAGCAGTGGGCGGATTAAGCTTGAAGGTTCAGGAAGCAGAGCTACGTCTTAGACCCGATGTTGTTATCGCGACGCCGGGTCGCTTCATTGATCATATGCGTAACTCGGCAAGTTTTTCAACGGATACGGTGGAGATTTTAGTTCTCGACGAGGCTGATCGAATGTTGGAGGATGGTTTCGCTGATGAGCTGAACGAGATCCTTACTACCTTACCAAAATCTCGCCAGACCATGGTCTTCTCTGCTACCATGACGTCCACTGTTGATCGACTCATCCGCGCCGGTCTTAACAAACCAGTAAGGGTGATGGTTGATACCCAAGGAAAGGTGGTGGACAAGTTAGAACAAAAGTTTGTGAGATTAAGGCCGGGCCGGGAAGAGAAGAGAATGGGATATCTCGTACATATCTGCAAAACAATGCATACGGAAAGGGTTATCGTATTTTTCAGGCAAAAGAAGGAAGCACACCGTGCTCGAATCATCTTCGCCTTGTTCAACCTCCCTTGTGCGGAACTCCACGGAAGCATGAACCAGGCCCAGGTAAGTTTTTCACATTTTTTTTTTCCGTTTCGCACAAGCGATGAGGGAATGTATGATCACGTACTAACTAGCTATAGCGTATAGCGAGTGTGGAGGCTTTTCGTGATGGCAAAGTATCGTTCTTGCTCGCAACCGACTTAGCCTCGCGAGGTCTAGACATCAAGGGTGTGGATACTGTCATCAATTACGAGGGCCCTCAAAACTTGGATATATACGTACATCGAGTAGGCCGTACTGCCCGAGCCGGCCGATCCGGTGTTGCCATCACGCTTGCCGCAGAACCGGACCGCAAGGTAGTCAAAGCTGCTGTCAAGGCAGGAAAAGCGCAGGGAGCCAAAATTAGCAGTTTGATTATCGAGGCTACCGTGGCAGATGAGTGGCAAGACAAAATCGACGAGATGGCTGACGAAATCGAGGAAATTGCCCGAGAAGAAAAGGAAGAGAAGCAACTGGCACAGGCTGAAATGCAAATCAAAAAGGGAGAGAACATGGTTCACCACGAGGACGAGATCAAATCCCGACCAAAGCGAACGTGGTTCGAAACGCAGCATGATAAGCAGAAGGCCAGAGAGGCCGGCATGGCGGAGCTAAACGGGCTGAAGGAGTCGTTGAAGAAGAAGGGGGATGGTAAGCTGAGCAACAACGACAGGAAGAAGTTAGATGCGAGGTCAACGAGGACGGAAGGTATGTGGAAGAAGGGCTCTGCCGAACGGGCGGGCAAGGGTGCCGTTTTGAACCTGAAGAACGACAAGAAGAAGAAGCAGCAGCAGAAACAGAAGCCTAAGCCTAGGAACTCGGGGAAGCCAAAGAGAAGATAGAATGCTTAGCATGTGTAGGTAGTTACCTAGGCACTTACAACATTGAAATATTCAAGTACAAACTGCCCTCAGTGCTGTGTAGTGTAGGTAGTTCTGTGAACAAACGACAGGGGTAATTGATGCTACAGTACCTAGTATTTCTATGAACATGTAACTAACTAGGTTAGTTACATACAGTAGTAACTAACGTTATGTATTTATCGCAGCTGATGTCATCAGTGCGCGGCCCCCACCAAAAAGGAGAAAAAAAACCCCCCAGAAAACCCAGTCGTCATGCTACTACATACACATTATTACTATATGTAGTATTATGTACGTACTGATGTAGTTACTACTGCATGTGGAACAATTAAATTAGGTTACATCAAGCGTGAGACGTGACGGCATCAGCTTCTCACACAAGCTCTAATCCAACTTTTTTCAAATTTGACAGAGTGACGAGATCATTTGATGCAATCTCGTCTGTCGCAAGAAACCTGAACCTTCTAACTGTCATATACAAATACCATGTGTTGATATAATTGGCCAGTGTCTAATTACACCCATTCAATCGTCCGTCCCAAGATCTACGCCACCTGACCTGAGCTGACCGAAAGTCTGTTACGCTGTGTCCATCTGCAACGGCGAGGCTGTCACCGTTTATGTAGATCAATCCTGTGTTATACCACTCTACCATGCCTACTATAGGCATATACATTGTATGTATATTAGGCAGGTAGGTATCGAGGGAACATTCAATCCCTCTTAATTTTCCAAAGTGGCTCCTCCTCGTCGCCTCCCACCTTCGCGCCCGCATCCCCACCATAAGCAGAGTCTTCTACAATACTTGTTTCCACGTAGTCTAAGCCATCGTTACCGCGAGCGTCTCATTGGATTCCATCTCGACACCTTTCCCTATTTGAAACACCAGATACAGAGCCGCATCTACCGACTCATCCTCGACAGCCAGCGCCGTCGCCGTGACCAGTCTCGACTCGTCGACCACGCGCGGCGGTTTCTACTTGGCCCACCCACTCCGAAAGCCAAGGGCTCTAAGAATGCGCCGAGGGCTAGCGTAGGCACTATGACTTCCACTCCAGGATATGGGGGATATGGGGGATATGGGGCTGGGAGTGGCAACTATGGCACCGAAGGCGTCCGCGAACGCGGCGCAAGGAGGAAAAAGCTCGCCGCCATGGCTGGTAGCATGTATAGGGCTGGAGCAACGGCTGTGAATGAGATCAAGGAGTCTTATTACCAAACCAGGTCAGACGAGACAAATACGCCAGACGTGTCGAGAATCACAATACCGGGGTCATTCCCCGACGTGGCTATTGTAACCAAAGGAAATGAGCAGATGGTATTATTCCCGTCGTACGCGAAGAGACACGTGAGAGAAGAACAGAGAGAGTTTGAAAGCCCTGCTGGACCTCCTCACACGGCAACGGTGGGCATGAACGACCAAGACTATTGGAGGAACGAGTGGTCTCGGCACGAAGATGAAAAGGCTATCGTGGATGTAGATGTTCGAGGCTGGATATATAACCCGCAAAAGGGGCAAATGACGCGTCGGAACCGCTTACTGATCGGCCTAGCAAGACAATTGAGTGGCATACCAGCTCCCAAACCGCAGCAGACCGACTCGCCGACAAACTCAGAGCCATCCCTGGCGCGTATACACCAAGAGCACGAGGAGAAACGGGAGCAGGAGAGAATTGCAAGGGAGGCCAAAGAAATTGAACGCAAGGGAAAAGCCGAGGAGGAAGCTGCTCAGAAAGGTAGTTACAGTGAACGTCCAAGGGATGAAGATTCTGAGAGTGAGAGGACCGGACAGCGGCCTGGTCATCAGCCTCGGAGTCGAAACCGGTCGCCTTCATCTGCACCCTCTTCTCCCACCCTTCGGGGACGTACCTCTACAGCGGGAGGCACTGAGCTCGATGAGGCGGAGCTGGCGATTGCCAATGCTAATTTGATGGCGCGTATCGCACCGTTCATGACCACCCCGCTAGTTGAGATTCCCATAACACTTTTTTTCTATAACGACACCCATGCCCAATCGCGCACGGTCAAGACTAACGACTCGGGTCATTTCATGATCAGGGCAGCACTTGACTTTGTACCAACACACGTGCGTGTGCTTGCAAGCGAGGACATCTCCTGTACAGAACCCGTACAGATCATCGAGCCCACTGGGGTCAGCTTGATTAGTGACATTGACGATACGGTCAAGCGCTCCAACATTGCCCTTGGTGCCAAGGAGATCTTCCGTAATACCTTCATCCGCGACCTGGGTGAACTAACTGTGGACGGTGTCAAGGACTGGTACAATACCCTTCATCAACTCGGCGTCCGGATACATTATTGCTCCAACAGTCCGTGGCAGCTATACCCCGTCCTAGCCACTTACTTCAAAATGGCCGGCTTACCCCCCGGCTCACTGCATTTGAAGCAGTACACGGGGATGCTTCAAGGCATTTTCGAGCCCGTAGCCGAACGAAAAAAAGGCACCCTGGAGAGGATTATGAAAGATTTCCCTGAACGAAAGTTTCTTCTAGTCGGTGACAGCGGCGAGGCGGACCTAGAAGTATACACAGAGCTAGCGATAGCTCACCCTGGCTCCATCGTGGCGATTTTCATTCGTGATGTGACAACTCCCGAAGAGACGGGCTACTTTGACTCTGGGTTCGGTACACGCACCCAGGCCGGACGTATCACCCGCAAAGATTCAAGCAGAACGCTGGACCAATCATTTGACCAGAAGCCCCTCCAGAATAACCAGAGCTTGAATAAGACACCATTACCCTCTCGGGTAGAAGCCATATCCACATCCAAATCTACCAGCGCGCTTCCCATAGGTGATCTAATTGATTTCTCGCAACCACCAGAGCCAGGGTTGGAGACGGCCAAGGCTTCTCAATCAGAACGCACGGATACGCTCCAACCCTCTAAGCCTGCAAATCTCCTAGCACGCAAGCCACCCCCGCCTAAACCAGCGAAGCCAAGTTCCCTTCAAAGCACACCAGCGGCAACACTGCTCACTACCCAGGATGAGAACGTGATGGAGACCAATCATGACCCCAATACAAAGAAATTACCGCCACCTACACCTCCTCCACCACGCAAGGCTAGCCAAATGAGCAACAAAACCATAGCACCAAGCCCACTAGCACAGATGCAGAGATCCTCTGAGCACAAGGGCAAAGGCGAGTTGGAACCACTCACAAGGACCCGCTCGGATCCTCCTGATTCTATGTCTAAGACCCTCACTTTGCTGCCACCGCCCCCCCTTCCACCACCGAGAAGGCGGGGCACACCATCCAGTACTACCTCTACAAAATCTACCCCGAGCCTGGCAGTAACACCACCCGGAGGCAGTCTCATACGCCGGCGCACCGAAGGATCAGAAGTAGACTTTGAGCGATTGCCGCCACCTATAAATGGTAGTACGTACGGTAGTGACAGTGGGAGCACGGGTAATCAAGCTACAGTGACCAAAAAGGTAGAACTGTGGCATCGCCGACTGCAGCGTGCGCACGATACGTTGGACCATCGGGGTGTCGCGTTGTATACATGGCGCCGTGGGGGCGAGGTGGTGGACGAAGCTGTAGGCATTGTAAAAAGGTACATGGGCGAGTAAAAAGGATTATATATAGAGATGAGTGAAATACAATTACATAGATTATGAATAAGTACCCAATGTTAAGAACGGTTGGCTTAATGCGTAATGGTCAATTCCTGTTAAGTATATACCTAATGATAGAACATAATTCCGTTGGTTCTTGTTGGCAAATATGCCAACCAACAATTTCCCGATGGAATATGAGGCCTTAAGACATGAGTTCAAGCACTTCCGACTATGGTAATAATAAGAATGTCATCCAGGTCCCGTAATTCAACATCACGTACTTTGAGCCGAGGGCATTCAGGGTGTGCAAACTAACGACAATTCACACTTTGGTATTTATTAATCCAACTTTTACCAAACCCCGCCCTGGTGATTAATACCCCCTACAATTAATATAGCATCACGGTCGCTTGAGCACCTACCATACCAACTAGCTTGAAATAAAGGGATGCAACAACGGCGGTTTAAGAGGCTCCACGGATAAATGTAGGATAGTAAGTAATCGCGATCCTACGTGGAGGAAACAACAGTAATAAATACTAGAGCCATGCTAGATGTAGATTGACTTTTAGTGATGGGACATAATCGCTAATGGAATATATAATAGAAGAAAGGAAGAGAGCGGAGCTCTCGACCTTTCAGGCTAGCCATATATGTAGACAAATAAGGTTTAGCGAGCTGTGGCAGCAGCAGCCATGGATAGCCACGGGACATGGCCACGTCCATCTATGTTTTAACATTTAAAATTTTGTTTAGCAAGTAATAAGAGAAGCCGCCAATTAAAGGGGAGTATTTAATAACTTACGCTAGCCCTTAATTCGAGGTTATTCCCATATAATGTTAAAATACCCGGCAAATTGCAAGCAATTTAAATTAGTAAAACTTTACTAATTTGATATCTGGAAAATCGTCGCTCCGCAACAATTTTGATTTCAAGTACTATTCATTTTTTTTTTAATATTAAACATTTAATCATGCCTCCGGCGGTTAGGGTTAGGGTTAGGGTTAGGGTTAGGGTTAGGGTTAGGGTTAGGGTTAGGGTTAGGGTTAGGGTTAGGGTTAGGGTTAGGGTTAGGGTTAGGGTTAGGGTTAGGGTTAGGGTTAGGGTTAGGGTTAGGGTTAGGGTTAGGGTTAGGGTTAGGGTTAGGGTTAGGGTTAGGGTTAGGGTTAGGGTTA